CCTTCCCAGGGTTCCGTGCTTCTCCAGGCACAGGAGGAAATGGCCGCGTCCCAGGTGAGTGGAGTTTTGATTTGATCTCTTAAAGGTCTCTTCTCAGAGGTTAGACACAGCATCTTCCTCTCCCTTGGGAAGGATGGAAGACGGGTGTGTGTTATGTGCCAGTGACTATCGTTTGTATGGGTTTTATTTTTGTTTTTGTCTTTAGCTTTTGTTTTCACTTTTGGTTTTATCATTTTCATTTTACAAAAGTGCAGAAATTCATAGATATACATTTTTTTAAAATATGTTTTTATTTATTTCAGAGAGGAAGGGAGAGGGAGAGAGATACCAGTAGAAACTTCAGTGATGAGAGAGAATCATTGGTCGGCTGTCTCCCGCACGCCCCACAATGGGATTGAGCCTGTAATCCGGGCATGTGCCCTTGACCGGAATTGAACCTGGAACCCTTCAGTCTTAAGTCTGATGCTCTATCCACTGAGCCATACCAACTAAGGCTAAAAAATATTTTTTAAAACCACATTACTAGGAGGTGGGAGTGGCTGGGGAGAGGTCAATGATGGAAAAAGATGATATATGTAAGACTTTAAACAATGAAGAATATTATAAAAAGTCACATTACTACATTGCTAGGTCAGCTATTTCCCCATGCTATATTTTATATAATTATAACCACAGCACATGTACAATTTTAAATCTTATGTTTTCACTTAATGTTAGCAGCTTTGTTGTAATTTGGCATTATTTTATGTACTTTTTAAAAATATATATTTTATTGATTTTTTTACAAAGAGGAAGGGAGAGGAATAGAGAGCAAGAAACATTGGTGAGAGACAGGCATCCATCAGCTGCCTCTTGCACACCCCCTACTGGGGATGTGCCTGCAACCAAGATACATGCCCTTGACCGGAATCAAACCTGGGACCTTTCATTCCTCAGGCTGACGCTTTATCCACTGAGCCAAACCGGTTTCGGCATATTTTATGTACTTCTTTCAGAAGAGTTTCTATTTTTTGTGTAAACTTCAAAAGCTACAAACATGCATATGCCCCAATGTGCCACTGAATGAATTTTGTTTTGACTCATAACATTTTTGCATGGGTTTTAAACTTGAAATATAACTTATTTACAAAAATTAGACATCTTAAGTGTTAGGTCGGTGACAGTGCTATGCCCCATTTTGAAAGCTGAATCATTACATTGGACTACCACCCAAAACCCGATATAGACTGTTTACATTATCCCCGAATGTTCTCTCCTGTGTCTCGGACTGGCTGTGAAAGACATGAGTTTATTATGTGAACTTACATGTGAACTTATGTGAACTTACATGTGCATGGGGTGGGGAGAGGGGGAGGGTTGCCAGTGAAGTCTCTGCAACACAGGATTTCCTAGTACTGGGCTATCTAGAGTACAGAACACAGAGCAACCAGCCATAGCGTTTCACTCTAGGCTCACACCCAGAAATGATTTCTTTCTTTCTTTTTTTTATTTTATTTTTAAAAAATTTTATTGATATTTTACAGAAAGGAAAGGGGGAAAGATAGTTAGAACACCGATGAGAGAGAATCATCGATTAGCTGCCTCTTGCACACACCCTACTGAGGATGTCCCCACAACCAATGTACATGCCCTTGACCGGAATTGAACCTTGGACATTTCAGTCCACAGACCGACACTCTATCCATTGAGCCAAACCGGTTTCAGCCTGTTGCCAGGGATCTTAATCCAGCATCTAGAAGGGTTCAGGAATCTTGAGAAGGTACTGCGTGTAAATTAATCAAGAGTCCAGAGACAAAACGTAATTTTGGAAGACATTTTGGGGAGCCAGAGAAGACTGAGCTAAAGGAACTAAGTTCTTTCTTGTCTCAGGACCCCTTGCTCTTTATTAACACAATTTGTCTTAAGGCAAGGTAGATATACACATTAAAGGGTAATGTTTGGTATACAGAATCCATTGTCATATTGGGGAAACTGCCTACGGCTGTTCAGATGTTTGGCCAGTAGGAGGCAATAACATGTAGCTTGAAATGCTCTCAGCTGTTTGGCAGCAAGCAATCATTTATGTATCCTTTTCAGGTTTGGGGAAATGCCCTTAGCCATTTTCAAACAGGCAATAACATACATGATTCAGCCCTTGCTGAGTCCCCAAGTTCCATCAACCTTTTGATGAAACTCTTGCATCTATGACATGCTGGAATTGGCTTCCGGCACCTGTCATCAGAGATCCAGGAGGAGAGGAGGAAGAGGGTGTGACTGAAAAACTATTTGAAGAAATATGGTGGAAAATTTCCCTAACTTCTAAGGGACATAAACCTACAGATTCAATAAACTGGGTTAACTACAAGTAGGAATTGATAAAAGGAAAGATAAAGTCCATCGGAGTCTGTTGGGAGTAAATTAACAAATTGGAACAATTTGGTAGTACCATGTTTCCCCGAAAATAAGACATCCTCCGAAAAATAAGACCTATTTACAGGTTTCCTTCTGAGTGAAATATAAGGCATCCCCCTGAAAATAAGGCCCCTCTAGGCTAAACATGAGAGATTTGGTCCACTGATTCTGAAAGAAATGGAGTCACAAGAAATTCACCAGGAAATTCAGGAATTGGATTGTTATGATGATGTTCCAGAAGATGATGACATGATTGTCATTGAATAAATGAGTAAATGCTTGATACTGTAGGATTCACAGTTTGTCTGGTTTGCATTGACAACTACCATACTACCGTACCGTATACAGGTAATAAATTTCCTTTATTTTCATTTAACAATAAATGTGTACCATATTCTTCTTCATGGAAAAATAAGACATCCTCTGAAAATAAGACCTAGCACATCTTTGGGAGCAAAAATTAATATAAGACCCTGTCTTATTTTCGGGGAAACAGGGTACCAATCAAAACGTAGATCCCCCACGATTGAAGAGTTACAGTTCCAGGGTGCTTATATAGGAATACTCACAAATGACACCAAGTGAAATAAACAGGGATTGTTTTCAATTGCACAATTTTTCATATATGTTTTTATCAATTTTTTTTGAGAGAGAAAGGAAATGAGAGGGTGAGGGAGAAGCATCAATCAGCTGCCTCCTGCAAGTCCCCTACTAGGGATTGAGCCCACAACCATGCATGTGCCCTCACTAGATATTGAACCTGAGACCTTCTGGTGTTCAGCCAAAGAGGGTAAATTGCACACCCTTTGAACGGGAAAATCGGTGTGGAAAATCAGTGTATGACATTGACATGCCGGGTTGAGAAGAGGGGGAAGGTCCTTAAAGTAGACTCAGGGCCAGCAGAATCCAGGACAACTTCCCCCTTCCCCTCTGCCCCTCAGGGCTGCCCTCTCCCCGTGGCCGCTGGTCGTAAAGCCGAGGTTTCCTGTGTTCGGTGCCGTAGGAGGCGGTGACCTTCCAGGACGTGGCTGTGGTCTTCACGGAGGAGGAGCTGGGGCTGCTGGACGCTGCCCAGAGGAAGCTGTACCGGGACGTGACGCTGGAGAACTTCCGGAACCTGGTCTCCGTGGGTGAGGACGGGGCTCTGTGACGGAATGTGAGCCCCCAGGAGTATTTTGATTTCAAATGTGTAATACTTTGGGACTTCTGAAATGTGTCCACAAACCTGGGATCTCAATTTCCCAAGTCCTGTAAGATACCCTGTCTGTACCTTTCCTTTTCCTTTGCAAATTGCAGTAGCGACATCTTGATGGGGTTTAAAATCAGTGGGTGAGTTACATCTTTATTGTAGTGAACAAAATAGAATAAAGACAGTATAGCTCTTTGTCGAAACTGCATACAGTATAACCAAAATTGAGAATAAATCAGGAAAGGATCATTTGATTGCCTGTTGTATTTTTAAAAATATATTTTTATTGATTTCAGAGAGGAAGGGAGAGGGAGAGAGAGAGAGAAATATCAATTGTGATAGGGAATCATTGATCAGCTGCCTCCTGTACACCTCCTACTGGGGACTGAGCCCACAACCCGGGCATGTGCCGTTGATCAGAATCGAACCCGGGACCTTCCAGTCCGCAGTCCAACGCTCTATCCACTGAGCCAGCTAGGGCTATTCTTAAACTTAGTAGCTTACAACAACAAGCATTTATTTATACTTCTGTGAGTCAGGAATCTGTTGGCAGCTTATCTGGATGATAAAGGTCAGAATCTCATGAACTTGTCAAGGAGTCTAGCAGAGCTTCAGGCCTTTGAAGATTTAATGGAACTAAAGTTCTGGCTTCCAAGATGCACTCATTCTTATGATGGTTGGGAGAAGGCCTCAGTTCCTAGCCAGTGGGCCTCTCCATTGAGCCCCTGAGTGTCTTCCAAACATGGCAGTTAGTTTCCCCCGCTGGTTACAACCAAGTCGGTGGAAGGCAGAAACCACAATGTCTTTTATAGCCCAGCCTTGGAAGTGATATATTCTCACTTCTGCCATATTCCATTGGCTTCACAGACCAGTCCTGACACATTGTGAGAAGGGATTTGAAAGGATATAGACATCAGGAGGAAGAATCATTGGGGACCATCCTGTGTGCTTGGTACCAGGGCACCTTCTCATACGTACAAATACATATACGTGTACAAATCATGGAAGAGAATATTAGCTGTTCACATTGATCATAAAATTCAGTGGCAACAATTATCTTAGGAATTTTACTCCCATAAGATATGGAAATGAGTTTTCTATTTTTTTTCCAGTTCTTCACCAGTTGAATATTATCTATCCTTTTTACCTTTGCTGAGAAAGTTCCCTGCTCTGTAGCTATTTATTTCTAATTTTTATTTCATAGGTAAGTCTTGTTATAGTTCTAAGTGAGTCTCCTTAACACTTAGTGGATAGGAGTCTACTCATCACCTCTTTGTTTTCATAGGCATGAAAAAGCCAATGACTAAGTCCAAGCTGATCGAATATGGTCTCCCAGTGTGGTTGACTGGTGAAAATATTTTTATTTCTGAGTAAATATTCATTTGTCCTCATTTTCATCTCTGAATTCTTATCCTTTCAGGACACTGGAATCAAAATGAGATAAAGATTCTTCAGGAAGTTGAATTAAGGGACCTTTTTCATGAAGACTTTGTATGCTGGCCAATATGGGAACAAATTATGACTAAGTTAACCAGAAATCAAGACTTGATAATAAATCTACAAGGCAAGAAATCTGATTTGCCAATCCAAAGCGATTCCTTCTGTCAGTTGTGGGCAACAGAATCCACTCAGGTTTCTGAAGATGAGAACTATGCAATAAAGGTTCAAGGGGAAGTTCAAAGTGACAAGCGTATAAAAAATCAAGAGTTTCCAAGTAAGACCACCTGGGATTTCTGGAGAGAGGCACAGAATTATCAGAGTAGGTGTCAGCAGTTTGATGGGAAGTGTAAACTGTGTAAGTGTGATGGTTGTGATATTAAAAGGACCTCTCATGATCATGATGATGATCAGGAAGTACAGAAAGGTGAGAAGTCGTGTAGCCACAATAATTGTGGGAAATGTTTCATGAAGACTTCATGTCGGCATAATGGAATCCATGTAGGAGAGCAAAATTCTCATGAGAATGGACAAGGCTTCAGTTCTGGCCCCAATCTTGAACTTCATCAGCAGTTATACCGTGGAGCAAAATCTCATAAGTGTAGCGAGTGGGGGGGTGGCATCAGTTATAGCTTGCTGCTTTGCACTCATCAAAGTGTTTTCACAGAAGAGACATTCAGTAGGAATGGTGAGTGTGGTGAAGACTTCTGTCAAAGCTTACCTCTGCAAATCCATCAGAGAGTCAACACAGGAGAGAAACCCTATAAATGTGGTGTGTGTGGGAAAGGCTTCAGTCGGAGTTCACATCTTAAAGTTCACCACCAAGTCCACACTAGAGAGAAACTCTACACATGTGCTGTGTGTGAAAAGGGCTTCAGACTAAGTTCTCAGCTTCATGTCCATCAGCGAGTCCACACTGGAGAGAACCCATACAAATGTGAGGCATATGGCACAGGCTTCATTCGTAGTTCACATCTTCAAGAACATCAACAAGTCCACACTGGAGACAAACCCTACAAATGCTCTGTGTGTGGTAAGAGCTTCAGTCAGACCTCAAGTCTTCAAGCCCATCAGCGAATCCACACGGGAGAGAAACCCTACAAATGCGCTGTGTGTGGTAAGAGCTTCAGTCAGAAATCACATCTGCAAGTTCATCAGCGAGTCCACACGGGAGAGAAACCCTACAAATGCGCTGTGTGTGGGAAAGGCTTCATGTGGAGCTCGTATCTTCATGTTCATGAGAGGATCCACACAGAAGAGAAACCGTACAAATGCGGGGTGTGTGGGAAGAGCTTCAGTCAGAGTTCACATCTTCAGGCCCATCGGCGAATCCACACCGGAGAGAAGCCGTACCAATGCGCCGTGTGTGGTAAGAGTTTCAGTCGGAGTTCGCATCTTCAAGGCCATCAGCGATTCCACACAGGAGAGAAGCCCTACAGTTGTGCTGTGTGTGAGAAGAGCTTCAGTCAGACCTCAAGTCTTCAGTACCATCAACGTGTCCACCGTGGTGAGAAACCCTACAAATGTGCTGTGTGTGGTAAAGGCTTCATGGTGACCTCAAGTCTTCATGTTCATCAGAGGACCCACACAGGAGAGAAACCCTACAAATGTAGCGAGTGTGGGAAGAGCTTTAGTCAAACCTCAAGTCTCCAAACTCATCAGCGAGTCCACACAGGAGAGAAACCCTACAAATGTGCTGTGTGTGTAAAGAGCTTCAGTCGGAGTTCATACCTTCAATCCCATCAGCGAGTCCACACTGGAGAGAAACACTACAAATGTACTGTGGGTGGTAAGAACTTCAGCCATACCTCAAGTCTTCAAGACCATCAGCGAATCCACACTGTTGAGAATCCCTACAAATGTTAAGAGTGTGGGAAAGGCTTCATGTATAGCCTGTATTTTCAGATTTATCCGAGGATCCACACAGGGGAGAATCGCTATAAATGTCACCTGTGAGACAGTACTTCAGTCTCACTAAATCTTGTCTTCAAGCTCGTCACTAAGTCCACACTCGAGCAAAGCCATAAATATGTGAGACATGTGTAAGGGCTTTTATCATAGTTCATGTCTAAAAGAATTCCATTGAGTCCGTCCTGGACAGTAACCCTGCTAGTGTGCTGTGTGTGTGTGGTAAGAGCCTCAGTCAGACATCACATGTGCAGGTTCATCAGCAAGTCCACACAGGAGAGAAGCCATACAAATGTGAGTCTTGTGGTAAGGGCTTTAATCACTGTTCACATCTTCAAGGACTTCGGCGAGTTTACACTGGAGAGAAACCCTACGCATGTGCTGTGCATGGGAAGGGCTTCAGTTGGAGTTCACTTCTTCAAGCCCATTGGCGAGTCCCCAGTGGAGTCAAAACCTACTGATGTGCCGTGTGTGGCAAGGACTTCAGTCAGACATCACATCTGCAAGTTCTTCAGTGAGGCCACACGGGAGAGAAACCCTGCAAGTGTGCTGGGTGTGGAAAAGGCTTCATGTGGGGATCTTACCTTCATATTCACCAGAGGATCCACACAGGACAGAAGCCCTGTAATTGTGGCGTGTACGATAAGGGCGTCAGTCATTCCTCAAGTCAGACATCAAATCTGCAAGTGTATCAGAGAATCCACACAAAACGGAAGCTATAAAAATGTGAGACACGTCATAAAGGCTCTAATCACAGTTCACGTCTTTAAGAACATCAATGAGTCTGCACAAAAGAGAAACCCTACAAATGTGCTGGTTGTGGTAAGAGTTTCCAGTTAGACCGCAGTCTCCAAACTCATCAGCAAGTCCAACTGCAGAGAAACACTACAAAGTTCTGTGTGTGCTGAGAGGTTCAATCAGACTTCACTTCTGCAAGGTCATCAGTGAGTTCACAGTGGAAGAAACCCCACAGACGTGCCGTGTGTGAGAAAGGTGCTGTGGGGAGATCGTATCTTCCTGTTCATCAGAGGATCCACACAGGACAGAGACCCTATAAATGTGACATGTGTGGTAAGGACTTCAGGCAGAACTCAAGTCTTCACGCTCATCAGGGACAAGATAGAAGTTATGCAAATGTGAGATATGTTTCATAATTAGGTTTTCGTGTTTACATATAAAATTACTTAATATTTCTCTTTAAAATTTTTTTATTGATTTTAGAGAGAGGAAGAGAAAGGGAGAGATAGAAACATCAATGAGAGAGAAACATTGATCGGCTGCCCCCTGCACATGTGTTACTAAGGATCAAGCCCAAAACCCAGGCATGTGCCCTGACCAGGAATCAAATCAGCAACCTCTTGTTGCATAGGACAACACTTAATCAATTGAGCTGCACAGGCCCAGCAAAAAAAAAATATATATATATATTACAATTTTTTTGTAAATAAGTTACACATGGCTTATTGGAAGTGTGTATTGAGCATTGGAAGTAATTTATTTCCAATATATATATAAATTGATTTCAGAGAGGAAGGTAGAGGGATAGATAGGAATATTAGTAATAAGAGAGAATCAATTGCCTGCCTTCTGCTCACCATCCACTAGGGATGTAGCCCAAAATCTGGGCATGTGCCCTGAACAGGAATCAATCCATGACCTCCTGGTTCATAAGTCAACACTCAGCCATGGAGCCACACCTGCTGGGCTTAATATTTCTTTTTACTTAACTTTTTATAATAGCTTTATAATAGCTTTTTAAAAAATATTTTTAAAGTGATACTATAAAAAGACTATTATTTATTATGCAGGTAGATGTCGTACACATTCAGTAATTATTAACAGTTGGGTTACATATACCTGTATAGGTTTTGAGAAAAGCCTAAAGAACAAGTATTATTATTACTAATAGTAGTAGTAACATTAATTTGTAGGTATGTAGGCCTTGTTGGTATCTCAGGATGGCTGTCTATTTCTGATGTTTGGGCTTTTCATTCTTGAAAAGTTTTTGATCTCCACTGTAGATAGAGGTTAAGTGTCAGAGTCAGGGTCAGATGTCCATTCGTGGTTAGGCACCTGATGAGGTAAGATCTCTTCCAACACTGTTGTAGAAAGTCTTTAGTTAATGTTTTTTTTTAAAATATATTTTATTGATTTTGTACAGAGAGGAAGGGAGAGATAGAGAGTTAGAAACATCGATGAGAGAGAGTCATAGATCAGCTGCCTCTTGCACACCCCCTACTGGGGATATGCCCGCAACCAAGGTACATGCCCTTGACCGGAATCGAACCTGGGACCTTTCAGTCCCCAAGCCGACGCTCTATCCATTGAGCCAAACCGGTTTCGGCTAGTTAATGTATTTTTAAAATCTCCACGTTGTAAGTGATGGTCTTAGAAGTCTTCAGAGTTTTATAAATTTTTATCTAATTTAAAGATATGATCTCTTTGGAAACCTGTAATTTAGAGTAAGTCAGAGTCTTTTTTATGGATTTTTCTAAAGATATATTTGTAAATGTATAAAATAAAATGACTGTTTGTAAATGATAAAACAATGGCGTGGTTATAAATTTGATTTCAATGCAATTGATAAAAAACAACACTTTCTTTTAAGGTACAATATTCAAACTCAACAATTTTTTTGTAAATAAGTTACACATGGCTTATTGGAAGTGTGTGAGCATTGGAAGTAATTTATTTCCAATGTATAGATCACAAATATCCATTGTACCGCTGCCAGACAACCCATAGAGAACCACGGCTCTTGGCTTGTGCTGTGTCACTGACAGGACATCTGCTATCCCTGGGAGCTGCCTGTTTGAACTTGGCTTTAAATGTTTGCAAGTTTTCCCTAGGGCAGAGTGAAATGTTTAGAATATCCATTTTTTTATTTTATTTATTTTATTTTTATTTTTTTCAATATATTTTATTGATTTTTTTAAAGTTTTTATTGTTCATATTATTACAAATGTTCCTTCCCCCGCCCCCCCCCCCCCCACCATTGCTCTCCTCCACCAGGTTCCCACCCCACCCTCTGCCCTTTCCCCTCTCCCCTTTGTCCTCATCCATAGGTGCACAGTTTATGTTCAGTCTCTTCCCACGCCCCCCTCTCCCCTTTTCCCCAAGAATCGTCAGTTCACTCCCCTTCCATACCTCTGATTCTATTATATTCAACAGTTAATATTGTTCATCAGATTTTTTTAATTTCCTTGGTTTTTAGATTCACTTGTTGATAGTTATGTATTTGTTGTTCATAATTTTTATCTTTGTTTACTTTCTCTTCTAAAAGAACCCCCTTCAGCAATTCATATAATTCTGGTTTGGCGGTGATGAACTCCTTTAGCTTTTTTTTATTAGTGAAGCTCTTTATCTGGCCTTCGATTCTGAGTGATAGCTTTGCTGGGTAGATTATTTTTGGCTGTAGGTTCTTGCTATTCATCACCTTGAATATTTCTTGCCATTCCCTTCTGGCCTGCATGGTTTCTGTTGAGAAGTCAGCTGACAATCGTATAGGTGCTCCTTTATAGGTTACTACCTTCTTTGCTCTTGCTTCTTTTAATATTCTCTTTGTCTTTTGCTCTTGGAATTTTAATAATGATGTGTCTCGGTGTGGTCCTCTTTGGATTCCTTTTGTTTGGAGTTCTGTGCACTTCCTGGACTTGTAAGTCTAATTCTTTGACCAGGTGGGGGAAGTTTTCTGTCACTATTTCTTTCAGTATGTTTTCGATATCTTGCTCTCTCTCATCTTCTGGGACCCCAATAATTCTGATGTTGGTTCGCTTGAAGTTGTCCCAGAGGTTTCTTACATTATCTTCAATTTTCTGGATTCTCTTGCCTTCTTGCTTCTGTGGAGGAGTGTCTTCTGGGTCTTTATGTTCCAAATCTTTGACTTGATTTTTGCAATCTTCCCTTCTGTTTTTAGGACTCTGTAAAATATTTTTTATTTCAGACAATGTATTCTTTATTTCTTGTTGATTCCTTATCATTTCTCGATGACTCCTTATTAATTCTAGTTGATCTCTTTTCATATCCTCATAGGCCTTATCCATCTTTTCTAGGAAATTCTTGAAAAACCTTATAAGCATAGATTTGAACTCTATATCCAGACACTTTTTGTCCTCCATTTCTTTCGTTTGTGATCTATTTTGTTGTCGAATTTCGCAGTTACAGATGGGACGGGGTTTCAGGGTGGAGCCTGCAGCTTTGGCTTCTGTCAGCCCCGCCCTATGCGGGTCCTTCAGTGCTCGCTGCTGGTGCCTCTGAGAGAAAGGTGCCCTCGATTTTCGCCTGCTGCCAAACAGTCTATGCTCTCCCACAATGAGCCCGGTATTGGGGTTCAGTTCAGTTGGAAGTGGAGTTGGAGGTGGCGTTCAGAGCAGTCTGGAGCCCCAGTCTCCTTCCCAGTCAGGGCAATCCCGCGGCACAGCCGACCGTCCCTTCTCTGCGCGCAGTGTGCGCGCCTCCGGGACCTCCTTTCGCCACTTCCCCAGGGTTTCGCCTTACAGCCCGGCGCCCTATGGCTGAGCCTGAGTCCCCGGGGTCTGGCCTAGAACTGGGGTTCAGAGCAGTCGGGGGCCCAGCACAGTCGGAGTTTTATCTCCTTTCCGCTAGGGAACGCCCGCCAGGCACTCGGCCTCCCTCCTCTCCGGCTCCGTCCTCTCTGCGCGCCGCGTCTCCGTACCTTGGCTTTTCCAGCTCCTCCGCACCTCCTTCTGGTTTTCTCGCTTCTCGCTGTAGAATTTCCAGTCAGTCAACCTTCCTGTAGTTCTGGGCAATGTCCGTTTTATATTTTAGTTGTATTTTATTGAAATTGTTGTGTGCGGCTGCGGCTAGGTGTTCACCTGGGCGCAGCCATCTTGGATCTCTAGAATATCCATTTTTTTTTTAAATGTACATAAATAGGCCGAACCAGTTTGGCTCAGTGGGTAGAGTGTCGGCCTGTAGACTGAAAGGTCCCAGGTTCGATTCCGGTCAAGGGCATGTACCTTGGTTGCGGGCACATCCCCAGTAGGGAGTGTGCAAGAGGCAGCTGGTCGATGTTTCTCTCACATCAATGTTTCTCTCTATCCTTCTCTCTTCCTCTCTGTAAAATATCAATAAAATATTAAAAAAATAATATAATAAAATGTACATAAATAGGACATTATTACTATTAGTATTAATTTTGATTTTGGAAAGCTTTCTGTGTCATTTCAAGTATATTAAATAGGCTGATTATTTTTAAAACTCTCTTTAAAAGGAGAGAGAATAACTGAGTGTCAGTCCATTAACCAGGAGGTCATGGGTTTGGTTCCCAGTCAGGGCACATGTTAGGTGGTGGGCCCAATCTTGAACTTCATCAGAATTTTCTCCTAGGAGCAAAACCCCCTATTTGTAATGTGTGGGGAGACATTTAAAGCTCCCTTGTGCAAATTCATCAGAAAGTTAACACAGGAGAGAAACCTTACAAATGTAAAGAATGTGGGAGTGGCTTCATGGGGAGTTCACATTTTCAGTCTACAGGCCGACACTCTATCCACTAAGCCAATCCAGCTAGGGTACAGGTATATAGATTCTAGAATTTATATAGGCATTTAAAGGGCCAAGAATAGGAAAGAATCTAGAATAACTACACAACTGAAGGTGTTATGGTATCAAATGTCAAACCTATTTTAAAATTACAGTTATTAAAACAGTGGTAATGCACAATGGTGGCCATCAGCCCAGTGAAGCAATAGAGTTCAGTTCTGGTAGCTCTCCTGATATACAATACAACAGAGGAGCTGCTCCAGTGCTAGTGAAGGAAAGACGATCACACCAATAAATGCCCAAGGGGAAAAGAAATGAGCCTTGACTTCTATCTCACACCAAACACACAAATCAACCCATACCGATACTCGGCCTAAAAGTGCAAGTTGAACCAATAGTCAATATGGTACCACTGGATACATGTAACTCTTCAAATTTATTTTGTTTTTAAATCTTATTGTTGAGAGTATTACAAATGTCCCCCCTTTTCTCCCCATTACCCCCCTTCACACAGTTCTCACCTTACCCAGGCCTTCACCATCCTATTGTCTGTGTCCATAGGTAATGCATATATGCATAGAAGTTTTTTGGTTAATCTCTTCCTATTCTCCCCTCCTGCCCCCCTCTGAGATTCATCAGTCTGTTGCATGTTTCCATGCCTTTGGTTCTATTTTTTATTCATTAATTTATTTTGTTCATTAGATTCCTTTTTTGGTTTATTTTTTTGATTTTTAGATTCAATTGTCACTAGATATTTATTCATTGCCATTTATTCTAGGTGGGCCTCTGTGTGGGCTGTGTGCACAGTCTTGTTGCAGTTGAGGTTTGATTGCTGTTGGCATCATTTGGAGGAGTTGATCTCCAGGCCAACAGGCTGTGAGGACCAACTGTGACTACAGTCGAAGAACTGCTGTGCAAGAGACACCCCTATGGAGCAGGACTTGCTTCAGTGGAGCTTTGGTGTTCAACGAGTCTGCCCCTTGATTATGTCATTCATGGGTATGTAGCATTGTGGTTATAAAGAAGTTTCTTGGTTTAACTATATTGATGGGACTAATGAAGAAGCCAGAATGGAAAGACTACCAATCATTTACTTGTATCACCCCTACTTGTATCACTTGTATCACCCCTATTTCCAAAAACTATGAAGAGGTTTGAGCAAATACTTATATTCTTTCACCTGAAAGATAATTCAAGAACATGTAACACAGATCATCGGACCTCTTTTGGATTACTTTATCTCAAAATTTAAATCTTTTCATATACCAAGCCGCTGCTATCACTCGAAGCAATGATTCCATGGAGAGATGCATCAGATTCAAGATGTATAATCTGGCAAAAATAATAAAATATGGAGTTTTTGTAAAGATTCATTTGGCTCAGTGGTAGAGCGTCGGTCTGCGGACTGAAGGGTCCCAGCTTCGATTCCGGTCAAGGGCATGTAAATCGGTTGTGGGCACATCCCCGGTAGGGGGTGTGCAGGAGGCAGCTGGTCGATGTTTCTCTCTCATCGACGTTTCTAGCTATCTCTCTCCCTTCCTCTCTGTAAGAAATCAATAAAATACATTTTTTTTAAAAAATGAAGCTTTATGTGAGGGATGGCACTTTTTTTTTTTTTTTTTTTAAAGACATATAAGGGTGAAGGCAAAAAGTTACAACAGACTACATTATCTGTCTTAGGGCCTTTTCTTGATTGTTGGCATCCTGGTTACCCAGATAATTACTAGCGTTTCCACAGCTGAACTATTACTAAAGAACAAAAGACTGGTCTGTGGAACATAAAGGGAGAACTGTGATTTGCCAAACTACGAAAAGAAAAGTATCTGCATGGGCGATGTCTGGCTCGAAATAGCTCGTCAGCAAGGTGTGAATAAGCTTTTTAAGGCATCTTTCATTACTTAATTGTACTTTTTTCAAGTAATAATTTGTTGATATTTTGATTATTGAGAATGTATGAAATTTGAAGAAATTTCGAATTATTCATATTCCCAGGATATAGATAACTGCTAACACTTTAGTGTGGGGTTTTCTTCTTCTTCAGGTTTTAGGTTTACTTACCTACATTTTACAAAACAGGTGTCATGCCCAGCTGGCATCACTCAGTTGGAGAGCATTGACCTAAGAACCAAGAGGTCACATGTACGGGCTCAATCCCCAGTAGGGGGCGTGCAGGAGGCAGCCGATCAATGATACTCTCATTGATGTTTCTATTTCTCCCTCTCCGTTCCTCTCTGACATCAATATATGCATACACACACACACACACACACACACACACACACACACACATTATATATATATATATATATATATATATAGATATAGATATATAGATATAGATATAGATATAGATATAGATATATAGATATAGATATAGATATTGATATATATATTGATATATATAAATAATATGTCATAGGTCTTTTTCCCCCCTCTTTTGCTTTTTACTTTGGAAATTTACCAGAATGGTCAAATGCTCGAAGAATAGGATAACATTCCATAGAACCATCACCGAGCTTTAACCTTCATGCTAATCTAGTTGCATCTAAACCCCCTCCCCCCGTCAAGTTAGGTGACCACGCTCACCTAACAGTATAGAATTCAGGCTGACTCTGCTAAAGACTGACTATCCAAATACCGACTCCCCAAAAGAAAAAAGGCAGCTTGGCGGAAAGGGCTGCCCGCAGGAGACTGGGAAGTGTAGTCCACAGGATGAGAGGCAATCACATTCCGGGGAAAAAAGCTGCCTTTAAAGCATGCATACACAGGCATACAATATAGCTCTCTATGTTCGGAAGCATTTCGGCTCCAGGAAAACGGGGTTATGGCTTTCGCTCCGGATCCGTAAACTGTGAAATACAATCCAGACTCTAGGTAGAGCAGCCGGCACTTCCACCCCAGGGAACGCCATAGCTGGATCATTTCCGCTCCGGGAGGCTGAGGCTGCGGTCCAGCTCCCGTCGGGAATTCTGGGAAGTGTAGTCTGGGAACACCGTAGCTGGATGATTTCCGCTCCGGGAGGCTGAGGCTGCGGTCCAGCTCCCGTAGGGAATTCTGGGAAGCGTAGTCCAGGAGGCCTCTGTGGGCAGAGTCACTTCCGCCCCAGGTACTCGAGGCCGCGGCCTTCCTGCCTCTCGGAAAGGTGAGCCCTCACCTCCCCGCGTGAGCCTTTCCCGCGCCCTCGCCGACCTCCCTGCGCTCGGCTGTGGGCCGGCGGAGAGCAGAGCGGGCCGCCGCCGCGAGGAGGAAGAGAGCCGCCTGCGGCCACGGGCGGGCTGTGTTCCCTCTGAATGAGCCCAGGGGGCGGCGGGGCCGTTCGCGCATCCCCGCCCGGGTGCCTGGCTGGGATGCAGGGCCTCCCGGGCTCCGTCCTTGCCCCGCACCGTTTCCCCCACCTCCGGCCGGCGCCGCCCCTGCCTAGCGAAATGATAACCTTAATGTCTCTGACTGCCTCTCCTCTTTAAGCTGGTGTTAGTGTGTCTGCCTTCGATGAGAGCGTCGAAGGGAAAGACCGGGAGCCTGTCTTTCGGGGTCCATCCCGTTGTCATTTCTGGCGCCGAGCTCCCCGAACGCCGGTGTGAGCCCGGGATGGGTCCGGCGCCCCCTGGCCCCGCTCTCATCTCTCATCTCTGAAGGAAGCGGGCAGGACCCGGATTTCTTTTATTTTCTTTATTTAAAAAAATTTATATATATATATTTTATTGATTTTTTTACAGAGAGGAAGAGAGAGGGATAGAGAGTTAGAAACATCGATGAGAGAGAAGCATCGATCAGCTGCCTCTTGCACACCCCCTACCGGGGATGTGCCGGCAACCAAGGTACATTCCCTTGACCAGAATCGAACCCTGGACCTTTCAGTCCTTAGGCCGATGCTCTAGCCACTGAGCCAAAAACGGTTTGGGCAGTACCCGGATTTCTAATTGTGCTTTTCACTTTAATGTTTTGGAGAGCGTCGCGCCTGGCTGTGGTCGGGGGTGTCCACTGATCATGGGTTAGGGGAGCTGATGATTCAGTTCTCATTTCTCTCCGCCCCTTTGCCATCCTAGCCTGGACCCTTTCAAAAAAGGCTGCGGAGAGGAGGCCGGGACCCCTATGCATTGACATTTAATCCTTCACAAGAGCCCAGTGGGGTGCGAGGGTACTGCTGGCCTTCTGTTAAAGATGAGGAAACGGAGACATAAGCTGTTTGTCCTAATTCACAGTGAGATGCTGAGCTGGGATTGGAGCTGAGGCAGTTCCCATCTGTTGTCTTAGTTCTTAACATGTTTAGTATCTGCTTGAGAAGGCATGTTTTGGATTTTTATAGAGCGCCATGAAAGCTGTGTCGGTGTGCTCTGAGTTTATTTTTTTTATGACTTTTCTCTTTCCTTATCTACAATTTAATTATACTTTATTTGAAATTATAGTTCAAATTCTGATTATAGAAATTATTGCACATTTTATTTATTTATTTATTTATAAATATATTTTATTGATCCTTCACAGAGAGGAAGGGAGAGGGACAGAAAGCTAGAAACATCGATGAGAGAGAAACATCGACCAACTGCCTCCTGCACACTCCCCAATGGGTATGTGCCTACAACAACCAAGGCACATGCCCCAACCGGAACCGAACCCGGGACCCTCAAGTCCGCAGGCCGACGCTCCATCCACTGAGCCAAACCGGTCAGGGCAGGATCGCACATTTTAAAGAATGAAAAAAATACACAAAGTATAAAGAAAAAGATTTAATTATTCAGGACCACAGGATACAGATATAATAGTAATACTTTAATGTTTTCCTGTTCCATAGATTTTTGGATTTTTACTTAAGTTTTACAAAATATGTATCATAGGTGTTCCCTTTAAGTTTTTACCATGGAAATTTACAATCATAGCCAAATGTAATAATAAAATAATGAAATTCAACCCTGGTTAACATGCCAGTCTTTTTTTTTTTTTTTTTTTTATATTTTATTGATTTTGTACAGAGAGGAAGGGAGAGAGATAGTTAGAAACATCGATGAGAGTCATTGATCAGCTGCCTCTTGCACACCCCCCACCGGGGACATGCCCACAACCAAGTACATGCCCTTGACTGGAATCGAACCCGGGACCCTTCAGTCCCTAAGCCGACGCTCTATCCATTGAGCTAAACCAGTCCCGGCAACATGCCAGTCTTGTATCAACCCCTCCCCTACAAATTTTCATGTTTCGGCATTTTAAAGCAAATCCCCAACGTTGAGTCAGTATGGTAGTGATTGATTTATTGCCGTCATTGTTAAAAATGGATTATCATACTTCGTTTATGAAAGATGAAATAGAGAGGGGGCCAGAGACCAGGATGGCAGGACACAGGCTTTGTTGGAGGGAAGAGTCCCCCTGCCAGCTGCTTCCAGAGAGAGGGGCGGAAGAGAGCGAGGGCCCGGGTACAAGCACCTTTAAGGATAGGGGGCGGGGCTTAGGGCACTCAGCACACGCTGATTGGTGATTAGGGACCTAGGGACTTAGGTATGGGGGGCGGGGCTTAGGGTATTTGGCAGGTGCTGATTGGTGGTTCAGAGCTCAGGAATGTCTGGCCGCCAGTGGGGTTTATATCTGTCCATCAACTGGAGGAAGGGAGGATCTAGAGACCAAGCAAGAAAAGGCTGTGCTGGCAGCTACTCTAAAGGTGTTCAGTCTTTGCAGCTTGGAGAATGGTGCTTGAGAAGGTGAAGGGGCACAAGAGTGTCATACTTCAGCGAAGGATGGTGAGGAATGTTGTTTTCTCGGACCCAGTTGGACTTGTCTGTGTCTTGTGGCTCTTGGTTTCTTTTTTTAATTAAAATATATTTTTATTGATTTCAGAGAGGAAGGAAGAGTGAGAGGGAGAGAGAAACATCAATGATGAGAGAGGATCACTGATTGGCTGCCTTCTGCACTGGGGATCAAGCCCGCCACCCAGGCATGTGCCCTTGACCGGGAATCAAACCCGGGACTTTTCAGTCCACAGGCCGATGCTCTGTCCACTGAGCCAAGCCAGCGAGGGCTCTGTGTTTCCTATTTCTCTCCTTCCACACAGACAGTTTTTCTGGTGCTGGGGATGTGCCAGCGCGAAGTACACGGTTGGCGAGGGTTTGCAGTTAGAGTAGGTTCTCAAAGGACAGCTGGCATGAAGGGCCTGCAGTTCAGTTTCTGAAATATCCTTTTTTTAAAAAATGGTTCATGTCAGACTGAACCATTTTTTAAAAAAAGGAAACAGCACCCATTTTTTGTCAATCACATTCTTTAAAAAAATTTTTTTAATATATTTATTTTTTTAGAAAGAAGGGAAGGGAGAGGGACGGAGAGATAGAAACCTCTATTGACTACCTCCTGCACACCTCCCCTGGGGCTCAAACACACAACCTGGGCATGGGCCCTGACCAGGAATCAGTCTGGTAACCCCTTGGTTCATGGGTTGCCACTCAGTCACACCGGCTGGTCAGAACCTTTTTTTTTTTTTTTTTTTTTTTTTTTAAATTATGGATTTCAGAGGAAGGAGGAGAGAAGAAAACATCGATTTGCTGCCTCGCCTCCTGCACGCCTCCTACTGGGGATTGAACCCACAACCTGGGCATGGGCCCTGATCTGGAATTGAACCGGTTTGAGGGCCCTTTCCATGTTCTCTCAAAGGACCCTCCTTAACCTCTCCTCTCATCCATCAGTGTGTGGTATAATTGCTAATTATCTCATTGTTCTCTCACCCTAGGCTCTGGATCTGGGATTTATATCCCTTTTAGAAGGTGATCCATAAATGTTGGGTAAGTGAAAGAAAACAACTCTTTTGTTGCTAATTGTGTGGCCAAGTTAATATCTGTTCTTAGTAGTAATGCATACATTCCCAGTCAGGGCTCATACCCAGGTTTCGGGTTTGATCCCCAGTGTGGGACGTGCAGGAGGCAGCCAATCAATGATTCTCTCTCATCATTGATGTTTCTGTCTCTATCTCTCCCTTCTTCTCTGAAATCAATAAAAAATAAAAATAATAGAAACAAATAAAAGGTTCTGCCTTATTTGTAGCCCGTTTTTTTAGTTCTTTGTTTTTAGATCTTGTCATTGCCTGGGAACAGTAAATAAAGTAAATATCTGTTGAGAACATTGAATTATTTTGAGGAAGAACCCAAGAAATTTAACTCCTGGTTTCCAAGTCCTTCCAGGGATTGAGCGCTGAGCCAACACTTTTCAGAGATGAAAAATGTCGTAGCATCAGGGACTTTTTACATCTCTCATGATATCCTTGTGGGAAGAGGGGGTACTATTTGAGCCTCTTCCTGCGTTAGGAAGTATATTCACCAACCACTAAATCTTTTAAAGGATGGTCTCAGTGTTTAAACATGTGTTATTACTCAGGCCACAAACCAAATTATTAAGTAAGAAGCCAGATCCCTGCCACCTAGATGTCTTACAAGACACAATTGCAAGGACAGCTTTATGAGGCAGAGTAGTATTCGGCAGCTACAGGAAAATAGGAAACATTGGCATGTTTTCCTCCATGGCTGAGATCCTCTACTCACACATATGTTCCTATCAACAGTCATAATGTTGGTGCCATTATCCTAATATCATGGATCACAGACATGAAGCATAGAGCGGTTTATTAATTTAACCATTATTTAAATATCCGTAGCAGTGTCAATACATAGTAAATGTAAAGCCAATATACAGCAATGTCAGATCTAAAGAGGAATTGTCAACAAGAGTCCATTTTTGTTGTTGAAAATATCCACTGGAGGATATTTTCCCCATTAATTTTAGAGAGAGTGAAAGGAAGAGGGCAGGGGAGAGGGGAAAGAGAAACATCCATGTGAGAGCCTCATTAATTGGTTTTCTCCTGCACCTGTCCAACCAGGGTGTGGAACCAGCAACCCAGCTACGTGTCCTTGAGCAGAATCGAACCCAAGACCCTTAAGTTCTTGGGCTGATGCTCTAACCATTGGGAAATGCTGTCTAGGGCAATAGAGTCCACTTTTTATTTTTTTTATTAATATATTTTTATTGACTTTAGAGAGGAAAGGAGAGGGAGAGGGAGAGAGAAACATCAAAGATGAGAGAGAATCATTGATCAGCTGCCTCCTGCATGCCCGCCACTGGGGATCAAGCTGGCAACGTGGGCATGCGCCTTGACTACAAGAGAATCATGACCTCCTGGTTGCAGGTCCATGCTCTACCCTTGAGCCACACCGACCAGGGCAGAGCCCACTTTTAACTAGTACATTCCTCCACTTCTCCTTTCCCACATTTCTCAGGATCAGAAAGAATCCCTCAGGAGCCACAGGTTGGGTTCGGACTTCTGGGTACAGCGTGGAGGCTGTCTCATGCACTCAGGCATCCTTCCGAATAGCTAATGGTAGCTGGAATCCAGCACACTCTGCCTGCTAAGGTGCATGTGGCAGTGTCGGCCTGGGGGAACGGGCAACCTTTTCCAGTTTGCACTAAGATCTATTTCCCTTTCTCCCATGGCTTCTTTCTTACCTTGTTCTGCCTTCCCCTAGGAAAAGAAGGAGAAAATGACCAAGTTCCAGGTGAGTGGCATTTTTATTTCTGTCACTTAGCAGGTTATTTCGTTTCTCTGTGTGTGGATACCTTTTTTTTCTTCCTTGATCAGTAGAAAGAATGACACTAGACATTTAATACCATTTATAAGGCATGCTTTTTTTGTTTCACTTGAAAATTTTCTTAATCATTTTATTTCACAAATAATAGTATAAAAAAGGCTAGCAATTAAAAAAAAAGAAAAGAAAAATCCACAAGCTATTACCCTGCTTACAAATCATCTTCCCTCAACCCCGCCACAGCCATTTGTATGTACAATCATAACTGTACTTGAAATAATAGATACAATTTTGAATAGGGTTTTTATTTTCATTTAAAATTATAGCACATAGAATGTTCTATCCCCCCACTCTTAACTATTTCCCATTCACAAATTTTTAAGTTCTTGAGGATTCCTGCAGTTTTCCACAGCAGTATCAGTTTTCTACATATAATCCTCACTAAAAAAAGTAATTCTGAGAGAATTCTAATATAATTTGTCCTTATGTTTCAGGGACTTAAAACTAAAAAGCATGTATTGTGTGTTGTTGTTTTTTTTGCCCCTGAGGTAGTTTGTGAAAAGATTACCTAAAAATGGTTTTGTCCCACAGGATCACACTGAATGAAGCTGACCTCAGAAAAAAATAATGTTAGATGTTCTCATACAAAAGGAGCTAGCTAGATCCTTTCCCCCTTGGAAGGACCTGAGGCTATCTCTGTGTATGTCTGCTTGCATGCCTTTATGTGTTTCATCATTCATATATTAATTTATTTTATTAGAGTAATATAGGTACTTAATTTAAAGACTTTAGTCATAGTATAGGATGTAGGTACTTTCCACCTGCATTGATGAGGACTTGGAATTGTCTGTACTGTTATCATGAACAAGAGGTTCATGTATGTTCAGGTCCTCCTCGGGTTCTTACAGAAGATAAGCATCCGGCCCACCCCAAAGCCTTTCTCATCCGGACCAAGAGTATCAGACATACTGATTGGCATAAAGAGAAGCAGAAACTTTTAAAACCACCCACAGTTCTCATTCAGAGACCAAGACCTGAATTTGTGATGTTTGGAGCTCCAGCCAGAAATGCAGAATTGAACAGGTCTCTGTTGAAAAAATGTAACTTTCCTGCCCTGGCCAGGTGGCCCATTTGTTTGGAGCGTCGTCCTGCGCACCAGAAGGTTGCGGGTTTGATTCCTGGTCAGGGCACATACCTAGATTGTGGGTTCCGTCCCCTGTAAGGGCACATAGGAAGCAGCCGATTACTGTTTCTCATGTCGATGCTTCTTTCTCCCTGTCTCTCCATTCCACTCTCTAAAAATCAATAAAAACACCCTTGAGTGAAAATTAAAGAAAACAGATCTTTAAGTTTCCCTATAGCAAAAAGTTACAAGACAAATAGCAAAGTAAAGTGAAAAATATTTATAGCAAACATGGACAAAAAGGCCTTAATGGCCCCAAAATTAGCATTATTACAAAACAAGAACTAGAGATGACCAGCAAATAAATGAAAAGAGAATGATCTTCATTACTAATCAATTTTGTGAAAATGTTATGAAATGACTGCTTCTTACTCCCCAAATTTACTTCTGATATTATCAAAGAATTTTAAAAAAAATATATTTTATTGATTTTGTACAGAGAGGAAGGGAGAGAGATAGAGAGTTAGAAACATTGATGAAGAGAGAATCCAAGATGGCTGCTCGGGTAGGCAACTAGCCGCAGCCGCACACAACAATTTCAACAAAATACAACTAAAATATAAAATGGACATTACCCAGAACTACAGGAAAGTCGACTGACTGGAAATTCTACAACGAGAAGCAAGGAGAAAACCAGAAGGAAGCGCGGAGGAGCTGTAAAAGCCCAAGGTACGGAGACACACGGCGTGCGGAGAGGACAGAGCCGGAGAGGAGGGAGGCCAAGTGCCTGGCTGGTGGTCCCAAGCGGGAAGGAGAGAAAAGCTCCGACTGTGCTGGGCCCAGCTCCAACTGCTCTGAACCCCAATTCTAGGCCAGACCCCGGGGACCCAGGCTCATCCATAGGGAGCCGGGCTGTAAGGCGGGACTCCGGGGAAGCGGCAAAAGGAGGTCCCAGAGGCGCGCACACTGCGCGCAGAGAAGGGCCGGCCGGCTGTGCCGCAGGATCGCCCTGACGGGAAGGAGACAGGGGCTCCAGACTGCTCTGAACGCCACCTCCAATCCCACTACCAACTGAACTGAACCCCAATATCGGACTCACTGGGGGAGAGCATAGACAGTTTGGCAGCAGGCGAAAATCGAGGGCACCTTTCTCTCAGAGGCGCTCGCAACAAGTACTGAAGGACCCTGAGTCTCAGGAGTCGCATAGGGCGGGGCTGACGGAAGCCAAGGCTGTAGGCTCCACCCTGAAACCCCGCCCCATCAGGAAAGCTGCCTGCGAAAATGGCTAAACCAAATAGATCACAAACGAAAGAAATGGAGGACAAAAAGCGACTGGATATAGAGTTCAAAACCACACTTATAAGGTTGTTCAAGAATCTCCTAGAAAAGGCCGATAAAATAAACAAGACCTATGAGGATATGAAAAGGGATCAACTAGAAATAATAAGGGATCAACAAGAAATAAAGAATACATTGTCTGAAATAAAAAATATTTTATGGAGTCCTAAAAACAGAATGGAAGATCGCAAGAATCAAGTCAAAGATTTGGAACATGAAGAGCCAGAAGACACTCCTCCACAGACGCAAGAAGGCCAGAGAATCCAGAAAGTTGAAGATAATGTAAGAAACCTCTGGGACAACTTCAAGCGAACCAACATCAGAATTATGGGGGTCCCAGAAGATGAGAGAGAGCAAGATATCGAAAACATACTGAAAGAAATAGTGACAGAAAACTTTCCCCACCTGGTGAAAGAATTAGACTTACAAGTCCAGGAAGCGCACAGAACTCCAAACAAAAGGAATCCAAAGAGGACAAATCATAATTAAGATTCCAAGAGCAAAAGACAAAGAGAGAATATTAAAAGAAGCAAGAGCAAAGAAGGTAGTTACCTGTAAAGGAGCACCTATACGATTGTCAGCTGATTTCTCATCAGAAACCATGCAGGCCAGAAGGGAATGGCAAGAAATATTCAAGGTGATGAATAGCAAGAACCTACAGCCAAAAATAATCTATCCAGCAAAGCTATCACTCAGATTCGAAGGTCAGATAAAGAGCTTCACTAATAACAAAAAGCTAAAGGAGTTCATCACCACCAAACCAGAATTATATGAATTGCTGAAGGGGGTTCTTTCAGAAGAGAAAGTAAATAAAGATAAAAATTATGAACAACAAATACGTAACTATCAACAAGTGAATCTAAAAACCAAGGAAACTAAAAAAAAAAAAAATCTGAGGAACAATATTAACTGTTGAATATAATAGAATCAGAGGTATGGAAGGGGAGTGAACTGTTTATTCTTGGGGAAAAGGGGAGAGGGGGATGTGAGAAGAGACTGAACATAAACTGTGCACCTATGGATGAGGACAATGGGGGGTGGGAAAAGGGCAGAGGGTGGGGTGAGAAGGGGGGGGGAAAGGAACATTTGTAATAATATGAACAATAAAAATTTATTTAAAAAAAGAAAAAAGAAAAGAAACATTGATGAGAGAGAGTCATCCATCAGCTACCTCTTGTACACCCCCTACTGGGGATATGCCCGCAACCAAGGTACATGCCCTTGACCGGAATCGAACCCGGGACCTTTCAGTCCCCAAGCTGACGCTCTATCCATTGAGCCAAACCGGTTTCCGCAAGAATTTTCTTTATTTAAGTATTCATGTCCAGTGTTGGCCAGGGTATAGAGGTTTAGGAATTTACATTCTTTTGGAAGAAGAATAAATTGAAAAAACCTTTTAAATTTTTTTTTAATTGATTTCAGAGAGGAAGGGAGAGGGAGAGAGAGAGAAACTTCAATGATGAGAGAGAGTCATCGATTGGCTGCCTCCTGCATGCCCCCCCAGTGGGGACTGAGCCCACAACCCAGGCATGTGCCCCAACTGGAATCGAACCCAGGACCCTTCAGTCTGTAGGCTGACACTCTATCCACTGAGCCAAACCGGCCAGGGCTGGAAAAACCTTTTTGAAGAAAAAACCTGCTGTTTAAGATTTTAAAACTTTAAAGATGATTCTTCAAATTACCAATTTCTACTTTTTGGGATTTATTTTAAGGAGATAATCAACAGATTCCCAGGGACTGAGTTCTCTGTGAAAGAGTCTTTTTGCAAATTGTCTATAATAATCTAAAACTAAAGTAAGCATGCATTATTAGTATATATCAGTATATTCTAGACCACATGTGTCAAACACAAGGCCCGCGGGCCAAATCCGTCCCGCCAGGCCTTGCAATGTGGCCCGCACCGCGCTGTCATCACTGCACTCCGCTGCGTTTCCATCACAATGACAGTTTATGACTGTTCAGTAAACCATTCGGCCCGCGATTTAGGCGGGATTTTAGATTTTGGCCCCTTCTTTGATTGAGTTCGACACCCCTATTCTAGACCATCAATTCCTTGAATGGCAATGCAGCCCTGAAATGGGATGACAGCAATCACAATAATAACTGGCACTTAGTGGGTTTTACTGTGTGCCAAACACTGTTCCTAAGGCTTTGCCTGTAGTCACTCATGTTATTACCGGGGCCCTGAGGTATAGGCATCAGAAGCACATGAGGAGCTTCCAGTGTGAGCACAGGCAGGGCTGGGCCGCACCACAGCTCCGTGACACTGCACACTCCTGATGGCTCCGAGTTTGGTCTGTATACTTAAACCATCAGGCGGCTGGTGCCTGTAAGTTAACAATTAAGTGGAGAACTAAATCTTTTCTGGAGCATTACTGATAAAATTTAAAATATTAGCAACTCACTAAACTGATCTCATGACAAATGGGGCAGGGCCACAATGTGCTCATTTATAGTTCAGAGGATAAACATTTTGCCTGTCACACAGGGAGTATTAGGACTTTTAGCTGCAATAATGTCACAATTATTAGGTGATATTATTGGTAAAATTTCAAATGTTAGCTCATGGCCCTAGCCGGACTGGCTCAGTGGATAGAGCGTTGGCCTGCAGACTGAAGGTTCCTGGTTAGATTCCTGTCAAGGGCACGTGCCTCTGTTGCAGGCTCCCAGCCCTGGTTGGGGGAGAGGGGAGGCAACCAGTTGATGTTCTCTCTCACATCGGTGTTTCTCTCTCTCTCCCTCTCCCTTTTACTCTAAAAATCAATGGAAAATGTATTCTCAGGTGAAGATTTAAAAAAATAATTTAAAATAAATGAATGAAATATTTGCTTGTGATGCAGCAATGTTCCAGGGACTTCCCTAGAGCTGTGCTATAAAAGGCAGCAATTTTAAGGATTAGGATTTCCTTTCTCGAGCCCTTTTGATGGATGGAATTAGCCGTGAGGAAGGCAAATAGAAAGCAGCTTCTTAAACGTGGCTCAGGTGCCTCAGAGGCCAGAACACTTTACCGTATTTAGACTCTCTCACCGCTGCTCTTCCATAAACATAGTCTGTGTGTGTTTGGTGCATAGGAGGCGGTGACCTTCCAGGACGTGGCTGTGGTCTTCACGGAGGAGGAGCTGGGGCTGCTGGACGCTGCCCAGAGGAAGCTGTACCAGGACGTGACGCTGGAGAACTTCCGGAACCTGGTCTCCGTGGGTGAGGACGGGGCCCTGTGTACAGTCAGTGTCAGCTCCTGGGTGTCTGTGTGCTCAGCCGCTGAAAGCTCAGGGAGTCCTGCCGCCGTCCTCTGAGTCCTATTGACCCCCGTGTGACCAAGGCAAGCTTTTCTGTCCTCTGCACGGCCAGTGAGACATGGTGGCCCTGGTGTGCCATGAGGTCAGCTTAGTGAGCTGCTCCAGCGTCTTGTTTCTCAGGATGTCAGTCACGTGCAGTAACTGGACTTTTCAGGGGTATTTTGTTTCTCACTTTAACAGTGTAAGTAATTCAAAGTTTCAGAACATTTCCAAAAGTAAAAATAGGAAATAAGAACACACACTTAGCTTTTACCCAGATCCGCCTGACATAACATTTTACACCTTTGCTTTATCATGTGTGCTCAGATTCTTTATCTTTTATGGTTTATGAATATACATGTAAATGTATGTCTGTTCATAACATTTTTTTCCTGAGCCATTTGTGGGTAACTTACATACTCCAGCTCCCTTTACCTCTAAATACTTCAGTGTACGTGTAGAGTTTGGGAGTCCCCAAGACTACACTCTCTCACACCAACTGCAAGTTCAGGGGGTCTCCGGTAATACCGAGGCTTGGTGATTATCTGGAAAGCCCCTCAGAGCTCACTGACCGCTGTTACACTCCTGGTTACGGTTTGTACCTGGAAACGAAATAGCCAGCCAAGGGGCCGATGCATGGGGCAGAGGCCAGGAGAGTCTCCTGCTTAGGCCCCCAGCGTCTTCTCCCAGGGGAGCGAAGTGTTGGACAGCACACACGGCGTAGTACATCGGGCCTGGGTGCCCCAGTTTCCTGGGGGCTTGGTCAGGTATATGTGCTTGGACACCTGTGTGGCTACTTCGTTTCCAGCCCCTCTGGAAATCAAGCTGATAGCACGTGGCCCAAACCCCACCATCAGTCACATTGTTAAGCTATCTGGTCTGGCCCAGGCCGCTGGTTAAGAAAGACACTGTCATTGAGTAGGACATTCCGAGGGCTTCGAGACCGCCTCCCGAGAGCTGCGGGCAAAGACCACGCTGCAATTTAGGCCAGGTTAATTCTTCGCTGAACGGTGTATTCTGAGGAAGTAAGGAGATTTTCCTGCATATCCCCAGGGCAGACAGAATACTTTTATCCGTTCTATCATGTCTGCTCTTAATTTTATGCACAGAGCCCATTCTCATAGCGTTTTTTTCTCTGTCCAGAGCAACATCTAGTCTAGGATCTAGTCAGGCTGTCATGGCCCTTTGACCTCCTTTAATTAAGAACCTTTCCACAGCATTTCTTTATTTTCATGGTAGTGACGTTTCGGAAGAACTTTGTTGCCTGTTCTCCAATTCTGATAGAGCCTTCCTAGTCTTTCCTCCTACTGAGATCCAGTGATCCTCTCGGCTGGCCCTCTGCGTGGGGAGCGGAGTGTCCTTTAGAGGCATCACCTCTAGAGGCACACCCCCATCCTGTGCGGGCGATTTTAATTTGATCGTCGTCAAGACACCGACCAGTTTCTCCACAATAAAATCACTGCTGTTTTCCTCTTGCAATCATAGGCAACATTTTAAAAAATATATATTTTATTGATTTTTTTTTACAGAGAGGAAGGGAGCAAGAGAGAGAGTGAGGAACATCAATGAGAGAGAAACATCGACCAGCTGCCTCCTGCACACCCCCCACCGGGGGTGTGCCCACAACCAAGGTACATGCCCTTGACTGGAATCGAACCCGGGACCCTTGAGTCCGCAGGCCGACGCTGTGTACACTGAGCCAAACCGGTTAGGGCCAAAGGCAACATTTTTTAAGACCACACTAATATTTAGCATCCAATGATGATTCTTGCCTTCTTCAGTCTTTACACGATAGTTACAAAATTATGATGTTCTGGCTTAGCACTTCCCTCATATTTAGCAGAACTTGATGTTCTACACCTGGCAGGATGCCCCCGTTCATTTATTTGTTATTTTAGGGGTTTGTGAAATATTTTTTAATATGACTTATAATTTACTGCTATAATTGTTTTGGTGCTAAAATTGTCCCAAACCTGGCCAACCTTTTAAGTGGACTCCTGTGCCCTTGCAATATGCCCTGTTTTCTTATAACACTTTCTTCTGTTATGCTTATCTTTTCCTTTGCCCCAGCTCTGGAATCAACCACTTATTTTATTAGAGAACGGTATTTAACACCAAGGTCTGGATGTTAAGAATTGTCATTGTCATTTTGTTTCTTGGTATCAGGGGATAGAGCCAGGAGGGGTGTGTGTGTGTGTGTGTGTGTGTGTGTGTGTGTGTGTGCACACATGTTCATATACATAACATACAAACTACATGTGAATGTGCACATATGAGTAGATGTTCAGTTGTATTAAAAATAAGGCATTGATTTAAATGTACCTGAAATACCATTTCTGACCCATGAGATTGGCAAAAAAATTAAAACATTTTTTGGGCAAAGCTGTGGGAAATAAAACAACTTTCATACATTCAAAATAGAAATACAAAATGATACAGCCACAAATGAGGGGCATTTGACAGTATATAACAAAACTGTCTGTTAGTGATTAGAATCCTCGCAATGGTTAGAACCTGTGCTCAGAAAGGTTGCGGGTTTCATTTCCTATCAAGGCCACATGCCTGGGTACAGGTTTACTCCCCAGCACAATGAATGCGGGAGACAGCAATTCGATGTGCCTCTCTCACATTGATCTCTCTCTTTCTCTCTTTTTTTCTCTCTCTCCTCCTCCCTCCCTCTCTAAAACAAAATCAATGGAAAAAAATACCCTCTTGTATGTATTAACAAAACAAACAAGAAAATAACAAAAAACTATGTATTAACCCTTTTTTAGCAATTCACTTCTAGAAATTTTTCCTAAAGAGAGCAAAGTACAAAAGACCATTAATAGCAATCTATAATTTATTTTTTTATTTTTTATTTTTTATTTATTTGGGAAAGAGAGAAGGAAAACATCTCCCGCACACCCACTGTGGATCATGCCTACAACTCTGGCACATGCCTTGTCTGGGAATTGAACCTTGACCTCCTGGTTCATAGGTTGACACTCAACCACTGAGCCACTGTGGCTGGACGTATGCTGTAATTTCTGTAAAGAAGAAGAAATACCTAAATATATATATCTCTGCTTATCTTTATAAGAAGAAACACAGAAGGATTAATTGAAAAACAAAGTTTTTATAGGGCAGGGTTGGGGGTAACAGTGGGAGAGGAATGTGGAAAAGAGTCACACCTCTTTGAGTATAGCTTCTTGTCTAGATTGGACTTTAGAAAATATGTTAGTTCAACACATTATAAAAATTAAATTAGAATGCAAAGGGATGATAATCAACTAAAATAAAAATGCAACAAATGAATTCAGATTTATTTGAAATTAATACCATAACCAGATTGAAGAGAAAAGAAAGAACTCATGGAAGTAGCTAAGAGAACACAATATATTACTACACTGAGTGGCCAGATTATTATAATCTCAGAACGCATAATAATCTGACCACTCAGTATATATCCTATATAATAAAATGCTAATATGCAAATTGTCCCCTAGATCAGGAGTTCGACCAGCAGGCAGGCCGGCCACCCGCCCATGTCCTCGCCCCCTGGCTGGGCCAGCCAGACCCACCCAAGCACGAATTCATGCACCAGACCTATATATGTATTGAGTAGCCAGATTATTATGCGTTCAGAGATCATCATAATCTGGCCACTCAGTGTATATACCCTTAGTTTTAGGTACAGTGAGAGGGGGAGCAGAGAATGAATTACAATCCTGAATATTTTCCAATGGGTTTGTTTTTATAGTGATATATGGAAGAAACAGTTCTGAAACTTTTACATTGATTTATTTATTTAGAGGCAGGAAGCAGTGGGGGGAGATATTTGTCATCCTACTTATTTATGCATTCATTAGTTGATTCTTATATGTGTCCTGATCCGGGAAAGGAACCCCACAACCTTTGGTCAATGGGGAAGACACTAATCAACTGAGCTGAAACTATTCTAGGTGTAGCACAGGTGCCAGGCAATTCAGGAGAGAGGTGCAGTCTTTCAGCAGGTGGAACAGAAACCTTGGACAGCTATATGCATCTATTTGCATATTTTCCACCTCACCAAAAAAAAAAGTTAACTCAAAATAGATAAGAGATCTACTGTAAATCTAAAACTATGAAACTTATAAAGCAGTGGTTCTTAACCTTCCTAATGCTGCAACCCTTTAATACAGTTCCTCATGTTGTGGTGACCCCCAATGATAAAATTATTTCCGTTGCTACTTCATAACTGTAATTTTGCTACTGCTATGAATCGTAATGCAAATATCTGTGTTTTCAGATCATCTTAGGCGACCCCTGTGAAAGGGTTGTTCAACCCCCAAAGGGGTCGCAACCCACAGGTTGAGAACCGCTGTTCTAGAAGGAAACAGGAAAAAAACCTTCATGACCTTCAAGAGTTCTTAGATGGGACACCAAAAGCATGATTCAGAAAAGAAAATGAGGAGAAAACCAAGATGGCGACGTAGGTAAACAACTAACCTGCCTCCTTGCACGACAATTTCAAAACTACAACTAAAAGACAAAACGTCTATCACCCAGAACCACGGGAAAGCTGGCTGACAGAGAAAGGAGCACAAGCGCTGAAAAGCTGAAAAGCCTAGGTATGGAGGCACGCGAATCGGGCTGGTGGTGGGCGACTGGGCACCCAGCTCTTTTTCAACCCGAAGGGGAACAAGCTCCCGATTCCTTTGAAATCCAGTGTCTGGGGTCACGCAGGGGACCCAGATGCCTACGGGGAGAAGCTGGTCTGGCGACCATCAGGCCCAAAAGTGAGGGTGACTTTTTAGCAGAGGTGCTCACAGCAATCATTGTTTAATGCGCTGAAGCCCGGGGGTGTGGGGACTTGGAAACATGGGCAAGAGAAGCAAGAAGAGAAGAGAATCCAGAAAGTTGAAGATAGTGTAAGAAGCCTCTGGAACAACTTCAAGCAAACCAACATCAGAATTATGGGGGTGCCAGAAGAAGAGAGAGAGCAAGACACTGAAAACCTATCTGAAGAAATAATGTCACCTGGTGAAAGAAATAGACTTACAAGTCCAGAAAGTGCACAGAACTCCAAAGAAAAAGAATCCAAAGAGGACCACACCAAGACACATCATAATTAAAATGCCAAGAGCAAAAGACAAAGAGAATCTTACAAGCAGCAAGAGAAGAACAGTTAATTACCTACAAGGGAGCACCCATACGATTATCAGCTGATTTCTCAACAGAAACTGTGCAGGCCAGGTGGGAATGACAAGAAATATTTGAAGTGCTGAATAGCAAGAACCTATAACCAAGATTACTCAGCAAAGTTATTCAGAATTGAAGGGCAGATAAAGAGCTTCACAGATCAGAAAAAGCTAAAGGAGTACATCACCACCAAACCAGTATTAGTGAAATGCTAAAAGGTGTTCTTTAAAAAGAGGAAAAAGAAGAAAAAAGGTAAAAATTATGAACAACAAATACATATCTATCAACAAGTGAATCTAAAAGTCAAGTGAGCCGACACCGGTTTGGCTCAATGGATAGAGCATCGGCTTGGGGACCGAAGGTTCCCGAGTTCGATTCCGGTCAAGGGCATGTACCTTGGTTGCGGGCACATCCCCAGTAGGGGTTGTGCAAGAGGCAGCTGATCGATGACTCTCTCTCATCAATGTTTCTAACTCTCTATCTCTCTCCCTTCCTTTCTTTACAAAATCAATAAAATATATATATTAAAAGTCAAGTGAAAAATCAGGAACAGAATAAACTGGTGAATATAATAGAATCAGGGGCATAGAAAGGGAGGGGATTGATAATTCTCAGGGAAGGGGTGTCTGTGTGAGGAGTATGGACAAAAATCATACACCTATGGATGAGGACAGCGGGGGAGGGGTGGGTGAAGTAAGAGTAGGGTGGGGGCCAGGTGGAGGGGAGTTATGGGGGGAGGGGGGAAAGGAGAAACAATGTAGTAATCTGAACAATAAAGATTTATTTTTAAAAAATGATAAATTGGATTTCAAAATTTAAAAACTTTTCTCTCCTTGCCTTTTTATAGGGACTCAGCTCTTCAAACCAGACCTTATATTCCAGCTGGAGAGAGAAGAAAAGCGTTTGCTGGCGGAGACAGAAACCCAGAGAGATGGGTGTTCAGGTGAGAACTGCCCAGCAATAACCCAGCAGCCAAAGCCCCTCCTCCGATACGTCAGCGTATCACGTCCCTCACCCCTGAAGGCTTTCCACTTCCCACGGGGTAGGGTCTAAAGTACGTCCGTGGCCGTCAGGCCTTCAGATTCCCGTGCCCTCGCACCTTCTCGCTTTCCTGTCTTCCCACTGTCACTTGTTTGTATTCATTCTGTCCCAGCTGCACTGTCCCACTGCTGCCCCTCAGACCTATCATATATGCTCTGCTTCAGGTTCCTTGTCTTGGTTTTCTCTCTGCCTTCAGGGAATGAATTGGTTCATAGACGCATTGTCTTCACTGTCACCAGTCCTCCCTGAGATAGCTAGCTAGGAGGTATAGAATAAATCAGTGTAATCAAAGGTCACTCCAGAATGCTATTTTGTCATCTGACGAATGCTAGTCCTAATTCTGTTTAGGTGTCCTTGAATATTCATAGATGGGTAGCCATTATTCCTAAAAGAGTAAGAATCACTAATCAACTAGAATAAGTATTGAACATGATCGATGCTAACATTGTAACTGAGCTTCCCATGCAACAATGGCACGTGAGACAGTTCTGCATTGGGGATAACTTCCTTATTCACATCCCAGCTCTTCATCTTCCCATTCTGTTCTGCTGCCCCTCCCACTTTCCAATCCCTTTATAGCACATGTGTCAAACACAAGGCCCTCGGGCCAAATCCGTCCCGCCAGGCCTTGCAATATGGCCCGCACCGCGCTGTCATCACTGCACTCCGCTGCGTTTCCATCACAATGACAGTTTATGACTGTTCAGTAAACCATTCGGCCTGCGATTTAGGCTGGATTTTAGATTTTGGCCCCTTCTCTGATTGAGTTCGACACCCCTACTCTATAGTCTCTGCATTTAACTAACATTTGGAAGTAGACCTTTCAAGTTTGACATTTATGTGAGCACAAACATCCTGGTATTGTTTCTTCTACTCTGATCTCCTTTTCTGTCCCAAGTTGAATGTCATTCCCTGCCGTGAAAAAGAGAAATAGCTGCGTTTATCTGCTCCTGCTCCACATAACCTTGTTTTTGTTTTCATAACATTATAGATTTTCCCCTGTGGACTGAGTTAAAACTAATTCTAAAACGATAGCTTTGTGGCATGGAGTTGGATGTTGGAGCCATTGTTAATGTGGATAATTGGAAAAATAAAACTCTTGCTGCAGCCAGTTTGGCTCAGCAGATAGAGCGTTGGCCTGTGGACTGAGGGTCCCCGGTTTCACTTCAGTCAAGGGCACATGCCTGGGTTGTGGGCTTGATCCCCAGTAGGGGGTGTGCAGGAGTCAGCTGATCAATGATTCTCTCAACATTGGTGTTTTTATCTCTCCCTTCCCCTTTCTCTCTGAAATCAATAAAAATATATTTTTAAAAATATGAAAAGTAGAACTTCTTCTCAAGCTCACATGAAATATGGACCATAAAACATACTTTAACAAATTTGAAAGAATAAAAATAATAAAAGCTCTCAGACCACAATGGAATTAAGTGGATATTAGTAAATAAAATTACTGGAAAATTCCCATATACATAGAAATTAAACACTTTTCTTAATAACACATGGGTAAAACAAAAAAATCTCGAGAAATTAAAAAAATATTTTGGACAAAATGAAAACAACATAAAAATTTTGGCATGCAGCAAAAGCAGTCTTAGAAGAAAATTGATTCCATGCATTAAAAAAGAAGGAAGTATTCAAACATCTAAGCATCCGCCTTAGGAAACTAGAAAAAGAAGAGCAAATTGAATCCAGAGTAAGCAGCTGAAAAGGATGATAACTGGGGCACGAAGCAATAGAATTGGAAATAGGAACTCAGTAGAGAAAACCAGTGAAGCCAAAAACTGGTTCTTGGAAAAAAGATGCATAAAATTGATATGCAAATTTAGCCAGGCTAATTAAAAAGAAAGAGGACACAAACTATGAATATTAGAAATGAAGGAGGAGACATGACCTAAGAACCCATGAGCTTCAAAAGGATATTAAAAGAATACTAGGGTCCTCGCCAGTTAGGCTCAGTGGCTACAGCAAAGGGTCCCGGGCTCCATTCTGGTCAAGGGCATATGCCTTGGTTCCAGGCTTCTCCGCCCGGGCCTTGGTCAGGGTTTGTGCAAGAGGCAACCAATCGATATGTTTCTCTTTTTTTTTTTTTTTCTAAATATATTTTATTGATTTTGTACAGAGAGGAAGAGAGAGAGATAGAGGGTTAGAAACATCAATGAGAGAGAGTCATCGATCAGCTGCCTCTTGCACACCCCCCACTGGGGATGTGCCCACAACCAAGGTACATGCCCTTGACCGGAATCGAACCTGGGTCCCTTCAGTCCCCAAGCCGACGCTCTATCCACTGAGCCAAACTGGTTTCGGCTCGATATGTTTCTCTTACATCAATATTTCTCTCTGTCTTTCCCTCTCTCCCACTCTCTAAAAATCAATACAGCCCTGGCCGGCTTGGCTCAGTGGATAGAGTGTCAGCCTGCAAACTGAGGGGTCCCGGGTTCAATTCCAGCCAAGGGCACAGGCCTGGGTTGCAGGCTTGATCCCCAGTGGGGGGCATGCAGGAGGCGGCTGACCAATGATTCTCTCACAGCACTGATTTTTCTCTCTCTCTCTCCTCCTTTCCTCTCTGAAATCAATAAAGAAATATTAAAAAAAATAAAAAAATCAATAGAAATATATCATTGGATAAAGATTTAAAAAATAATAAAAATGTAGATTTTTAAGATAAATAAAAATAAAATAATACTTATAAACAAATTCCCTGAGCACAAATAATAACCTAGGTGAAATGGACTAATTCCTTGAAAGACAATTTGCCAAAACTTACACAATAAAAACAACAACAATATGAATAGGCCTATATCTGTTAAAGAAATTAAATGGATAATTAATAACCTTCTAAAACAAACTTAGAATTAATTGAGTTGTGAGAAAAAGAAGTAGAAACAGACAAAAGGTCCAATAAGGTAAATATGTTCTGTTAAAGCAAGGTAAGCCTCAGTTGTGGTTAAGAGTGTAGCCCACACAGCAGTTTAAGTATTAGTGTATAATGAAAATATTATTGTTACTGTATCTTCTGTTGAGAAAATGCCTTAATTTCTCTTACTATCTAAAACTGTTTAAAACAACCATTTTTAACCGGTGTGTCACAAGAATTTTTAAAACAAGCAATACCTATCTACTTAGTCAGGAGCACTGACCTCCTTTTCCTTAAATTGTCAAATAAAAAAATGACAACTGCCAACACAACAATAGCTGTTTGGTGTGAATGATCAAAATTGTACCTGTTTTTGGTCAGATCAGCAAAAAATATATTTTTTGGTATGCTTGATGTCCATTGCTAGCTACACATTTCCATCCTGAGATTACTTTGAATAAAGCATTTTTGAGGTTTCTCTTGAAATTACTGTGTTTTCTTTGATTACAAAATCCGCATTATTAACCAGTACATCAGGTATGACATCTTCATTATTAAATGAATTAATACAGCACTGATAGGACTGACTTTCTCAAACTCTAAAGGATTACTAAGGAGATGTAAATTCTCCTTCAAGTGATGTCTTTCAGTGCTCTTTTGCAGTGTATATTTTCTCCATCAAAAATAGTTGATTTATTTATATGTGCTGCCAAAGTGAGCACTGAAAAAAAAGTTGATTTATTTAAAGTTAATGTTAAATGTGTGATATTTTCCATGAGAAGCTAAATCTAAATGAAATCACATTTTTCCTCTCTATGCCTTTAACATTAAAAACACTAATCAGAAAAATACTTAAGTCTTTTTTGTGTATTTGAGAGATTCTTATAAGTTTTGTACAAATTCCTGTTGAAATTTGTAAGAAATTGGGCTTTCACCAACAAGCTGCTTTCAGGTCCTGAAGCCACCATGACAGCTCCAAAAGACACGACATATTAAACTGGATCTTTTTGGATGAATATTGAATGTTTTTGATGACACCAAAACAAAACTATAAGTATTACGATTAACTCTAGCTAAAGGCCCAAACTTTTTTTTAAATTTTTTAAAATTAAATTATTATCTTTGTACATATACCATTGACCTCCCCCTCCCATACATGCCTCCCCTCCCCAGAGTTTTGTGTCCATTGGTTGTACTTATATGCATGTATATAAGTCCTTCGGTTGATCTCTTATCTCCCCTAGATCTCCCTACCCTCCCCACTGTAATTTGACAGTCTGCCTGTTGCTTTCCTGTCTCTATATCTATCTTTTGGTTCATCCGTTTATAATGTTCTTTATTATCCATAAATAAGTGAGGTCATGTGGTGTTTCTCTTTCATGACTGGCTTGTTTCACTCAGCATGATGTTCTCCAATTCCATCCAGGTTGCTGCAAATGATGAGAATTTCTTCTTTATGGCAGCATAATATTCCATTGTGTAGATGTACCATAGTTTTTGGATCCAATCATCTGCTGATGGGCACCTAGGCTGTTTCCAAATCCTAGCTATTGTAAATTGTGCCACTATGAGCCTAGGGGTGTATATATCCTTTCTGATTGGTGTTTCTGGCTTCTTGGGATATATTCCTAGGAGTGGGATTACTGGGTCAAATGGGAGTTCCATTTTCAGTTTTTTGAGGAAACTCCACACTGTTCTCCACAGTGGTTGCACCAGTCTACATTCCCACCAGCAGTGCACAAGGGTTCCTTTTTCTCGGCAACCTCGCCAACACTTGTCGTTTGTTGATTTATTGATGTTGCCATTCTGACAGGTGTGAGATGGTAACGCATTATTGTTTTGATTTGCATCTTTCCGATAATTAGTGACTTTGAGCATGTTTTCATGTGGACCCAAACTTTTAACATATAAGCTATTTATCGGACATGCCTCCTATAGTACGGTATGCTTCATTTCACTTTCAGGTGATAAAATATTAATGTAATAACTGAAGATTTACTTTTGAGAAGCCAGAAAGATCACTAAGAATTTTTTTAAGGATTGAAATCTTAAAAATGTGCCGTAAGTGTTACCCTGGGATCAATGCAGGGTAGTTTCCAAGTAGAATGTCACACTCATCAGTGTGGCCTTTTCCTTTGTCCTCATTATTATTATTATATTTAATGTTTTTTACTCTAATCAACATTTTTATTTCCACCCAAAGTTCAAGTACTTTTATTTATTTAATTAATTAATTAAATATTTTTTATTGATTTTTTTACAGAGAGGAAATGAGAGGGAGAGAGAGTTAGAAACATCGATGGAAGAGAGTTAGAAACATCGATGAGAGAGAATCATCGATCAGCTGCCTTTTGCACACCTCCTACTGGGGATGTGCCTGCAACCAAGGTACATGTCCTTGACCGGAATCGAATCTGGGACCTTTCAGTCCGCAGGCCGACGCTCTATTCACTGAGCCAAACCGGTATTGGCTGTCCTTGTTATTAATTCAAAGATAAGGACAGACTACAGGTAAGATTTTGTGTGAGAAAATACATAGCAACATAAAGGTTATTTTAAATATTTTTTGGGTTTTTTGTTTGTTTGTTTTTTGTTTTTTACAGAGAGAGAGAGAGAGAGACTAAGGGAGAGGAAGAGAGAGATAGAAAAATCACTGTGAGAATAATTGATTGGCTGCCTCCTGCACACCCCCTACTGGGAATCTAGCTCAAAAGCTGGACATGTGTCCTGACCAGGAATTGAACCATGACCTAGTTCATGGGTCATGTTCAACCATGAACCACACTGGCTGGCTAAACGTTATTTTATTTATTTATTTTTTTAAATATATTTTATTGATTTTTTACAGAGAGGAGGAAAGAGGGATAGAGAGCTAGAAACGTCGATGAGAGAGAAACATCGACCAACTGCCTCTTGCACACCCCCTACTGGAGATGTGCCCGCAACCAATGTACATGCCTTTGACCGGAATCGAACCTGGGACCTTTCAGTCCGCAGACCGACGCTCTACCACTGAGCCAAACCGGTTTCGGCCTAAACGTTATTTTAGAAAGGAAAAAAATTCTCCTGGCCAGGTGGCTCAATTAGAATGTCATCTGGTACACCAATAAGGGTTGCAGGTTCGGTTACAAGTCATGGCACATACCTAATATGAAGGTTACATCTCTGGTTGGGGCAGGTACAGAAGGCAACTGATTGATGTTTCTCACATTAATCTCTCTCTCAAAAATAAAAAATTTATCCTCAAGTGAAGATTTAAAATAGCTATAATAATAAAAGTATAAAATGCTAATTAGACTGTGCAGCCAAACTACCTTCTGGATGAAGCCAGGGCGCTGTGAGGGTCAAGCCCCTTGCACAAATTTTGTGCATTGGGCCTCTAGTTTAAGAATCCCTAAACATTAAAGTAACTTTACAATAAAATGATGCAAGCCCAAACCAGTGTTCACTGAGTTTTGTTTGTTTGATAAGTTGCTTTAAAGGACACCTACAGGTGCCATGAAATTTGCCTCTGCTTATCTCCCTCGGCCTCCATTTTTTCTGAAGTCTTTGAAATTCTGTTTCACATTCTGATCTGCACCATGGCCCTTGGTAATTGTGAGACATCCTTTGAAAGGAGTTAAAGCTGATAAAGGCTTACAGTGACTTAGAAGAACTTATTATTCTCATGATGTAAATACCTTATGATAGTCCACATGATGCTTCAAACATTGATGAAAGATCTATATTTGCCATCATTTGCATAGAATTTAACAAACTCAAACATTATCATGCATGTGCTAGAGATAAGTTATTATCAGGACAAAAAAGATTTGTCCACTTGAAAAATATTCTAATTTGAGACTATCCCCTTCTATTTTTTTTCTTGGCCTCTCCAGGCAATCCATGATAATGTATATGGTTTACTAAACCTTTGAATAGGGCCACCACGTTCAATAGCTAGCTGTGTTGCAAAGTCCTGACTTTGAAACATGTATCCCCAATTATATGATTCGTGATATAGCCAAAAAAGAGCCATTTTCTTTAAAATATTATATATATCCTGTATAATAAAAGGCTAATATGCAAATAGACTGAACAGCAAAATAAACACCAGTTGCTATGACGCGCGCTGAATACCAAGGGCTGTGTGTGGAACATGGTGGGCGTCGGCTGCAGTGGGATGGTAGAGTAGGTGAGCAGGGGCACCAGACTAAGGCAGGGTGCCAGTCGCTGTCAGCAGGGTGAGCCTTTGACGGTTACTGCAAATTCTTTGCTCCCACTTGCCGCAGTCCCAGTATTTGCACCTGCTGCTGGCCCCGGCCCTGTTTGCACCCACTGCCAGCACCAGAACCACTGCTCACACCTGATGCTGGTGCCCAGTGCCCAGCGCCATTCCCAATCACGCGTCACCATCAGTGGGTGTGAGCGGTGGCTGCTGGCTCTGATCACCTCTGAGGGCTTTTCCATCTCCCCCTGCTCCTGAGGGGTGATTGGGGCAGCAGTTGCCACTTGCACCTGTTGACGATGCCGGCCCCACTCCCACTCACTTCTGATGCTGGCCCCACTTCCACTCACTTCTGACGCTGGCCCAATTGCTCCGTGTCTTCAGCAGGTGCAAATAGGCTGGTGCCATCAGCACATGAAAGCGGCAGTGGCGGGAGTGGGGCTGCCTGCAGACAGGGGACCAGGGGGCCATGGCAGGAGGGCCAGAAGATGGGCTGAGATCTGACCCTGTGCCTACCGCAGCCTCATGGCCCACAGTTCCTTTCAAGGTGCACAAATTCGTGCACTGGGCCCCTAGAGAGTGTGTGTGTGTGTGTGTTTGTATGTTTTATAATTGTATTGATTTCAGAGAGGAAGGGAGAGATAAGAGAGAGAAACATCAATGATGAGAAAAGATCATTGATTAGCTGCCTCCTGCACATCCCCTACTGGGTATCGAACCTGAAACCTAGGCATACACCCTTGATCAGAATCGAACCTGGGACCCTTCAGTTCTCAGGCTGACACTCTATCCACTGAGCCAAACCAGCTAGGGCAAAAAGTATATTTTTATTTATTTCAGAGAGGAAAGGAGAGGGAGAGAAAAAAATCATTAACAATGAGAGACGAACATTGATCAGCTGCCTCCTGCATGCCATCTACTGGGGATTGAGCCCACAACTCGGGCATGTGTCCTGACCAGGAATCGAACCATGACTTCCTGGTTCATAGGTCAATGCTCAACCTCTGAACCCCACCGCTAGGCAGAAGAGCCACTTTTTTTTTTTTTTTTTTTTAAGTATTCTTAGAGGTGTTCACATGAATATTCCTCCAGTTCATTGAAGTTTCATGTTATAACCTTGAAATATGAATAAAAGCATCCACTATGTACATTTCTAAATTCTCTTTATCCTTATAGGAATCAAGAACCAACATAACATGAAAAGTTTTCAAGAAGTGGAATTAAGCTATCTTTCTCCCAAAGAGCTTTCCTCCTGGCAGACCTGGCAACAGGGTACAAGTGGGTTAACCAGGTGTCAAGATTCCATGAAAACTTTTCAAAGGAATACTTCTAAGTTGCAAAAACAAGGTGATTCCCCCTGCCGGGTTTGGGCAGGAAAACCAATGCAGATTTCTGAAGATGGAAACTATATATTGACTCCTGGAGAGGATGGTTCCAATTACACAGAAAATCAAGAGTTTCCATCTTGGAGATCCCAGCATTCCTGGAGGAAAATGTATCTGGCAGAGCCACATAGTTATCAGTGTAGATGTCAACAAGTTTCCATGAAAAATAGTTTCTGTGAGTGTGATGGTGTCAGTTGGATCTCACATCACAATGACGACCTGAGAGTACACAGAACAGAAAAAAACCACAACTGCCATGACTGTGGAGAAGACATTATGAAGATGTCACTGCATAATCAAGATTTAATTCAAACAAGGCAAAAGCTCTGCCCCTATAATGATTGCAGAAAAGTCATCAGGGATGACTTCAGCTCTGAGGTTCATCAACAGTTAGACTTAGAAGGGGAATCCCATGCATACAGTCCATGTGGAAAGAGCCGTCATTATAATTCAGTTCCTCATACTCATCAATGTGTTCATAGAAAAGATGATTGCATTTTTGAGACTTCACATCTGCAGTCCCATCAGAAAGAACATACAGAAGAAAAGTCATGTATATGTGAATGTGGTGAGATCTTGAATCAGAGCCCCTCTCTTAACATGTATGGACTTACTCACACAGGAAAGATATCCTATAATTATAAGAAAGCCTTCAGGCACAGCTTAGACCTCAATGGTATTTTTAGGGTTAGCACTGGGCAGGAACCCCATGAACATAAGGAAAATGGGAATGTCCTTAATAATAGTTCTCATCTGCAAGTCCGTCAGAAAACCCACATTGAAGAGAAACTATGCACCGATTTAGAGTATGAGGGAGGTTTCATTTGTAGCTCAGATCTTAGTATTCAGCCTAGAATTCACATGGAAGAGATTCCCTGTAATTCAGACGAGTGTGCTGATGGCTTCAGTCTGCCCTCTCATTTTCAGAACCTTCAGATAGTCTGTCCTAGGGAACAGCCATATAAACATTATTCATGTGGTAACAGCGCCGGCCAAAATTTGTATCTTCAAGGCCATCAGAAAACTCACATTGGAGAGAAACCATGTAAGGAGTATGGAAATGGCTTCAACTTGAATTTAAAACTTAAAGGTCACCAGAGAATACACACTGGAGAGAAGCCATACAAATGCAGTGCTTGTGGTAAAGACTTCAGTCATAGATCAGTTTTTAATGTCCATCAGAGAGTCCACACAGGAGAGAAACCTTATAAATGTGAGGAGTGTGATAAGGGATTCAGTCGCAGTTCATACCTTCAAGCCCATCAGAGAGTCCACACTGGAGAAAAGCCATACAAATGTGAAGAATGTGGGAGGGGCTTCAGTCGCAATGCATACCTTCAGGGCCACCAGAGAGTTCACACTGGTGAAAAACCATATAAGTGTGAGGAGTGTGGGAAGGGCTTCAGTCGGAGTTCACACCTCCAAGGCCATCAGAGAGTCCACACGGGAGAGAAACCTTACAAATGTGAGGAGTGTGGGAAGGGATTCAGTTGGAGCTTTAACCTTCAAATTCATCAGAGGGTTCACACAGGGGAGAAACCCTATAAATGTGGGGAATGTGATAAGGGCTTCAGTAAGGCCTCAACTCTTCTGGCCCATCAGAGAGTTCACACAGGAGAGAAGCCATACCAATGTGATGAGTGTGGGAAGAGCTTCAGTCAGAGGTCATATCTTCAAAGCCACCAGAGTGTCCACACTGGAGAGAGACCATACATATGTGAGGTGTGTGGGAAGGGCTTCAGTCAGAGAGCATATCTTCAGGGTCATCAGAGGGTCCACACTAGAGTGAAGCCATATAAATGTGACGTGTGCGGGAAGGGCTTTAGTCAGAGTTCACGCCTTGAAGCACATCGGAGGGTTCACACGGAAGGGAAACCATACAAATGTGAGGTTTGTACGAAGCGCTTCAGTGAGCGCTCACGTCTTCAGGCACATCAGAGGATCCACATAGACGGGCGGGCCTACAAATGTGAACAGTGTGGCAAGGGTTTCAGTGGATTTTCAAGTCTTCAAGCCCATCACAGAGTCCACACTGGGGAAAAGCCATACAAATGTGAGGTGTGTGGAAAGGGCTTCAGTCAGAGATCAAATCTTCAGGCTCACCAGAGAGTCCACACAGGAGAGAAACCATACAAATGTGATGCATGTGGTAAGGGTTTTCGTTGGAGCTCGGGTCTCCTAATTCATCAAAGAGTCCATAGTGATACATTTTATAAAAGTGAGGCGTATGGTAAGCATTATCCATCAGATAACCCGTACACAAATGAGATCCTATAAAATGGTATTTTGTTTTGAAGTCCTCAAATGGAAGCTGAATTTTCCCATTTATCAGAGTTCTTAGAGTAAGAGAAGATTATCTTTAATGAAAATGTGATGTTTTAACCACATGGTCGGCAAACTGCAGCTCGTGAGCCACATGTGGCTCTTTGGCCCCTTGAGTATGGCTCTTCCACAAAATACCACAGCCTATTTGAAGAAGTGGCATTAGAAGAAGTTTAAGTTTAAAAAATTTGGCTCTCAAAAGAAATTTCAATCGTACTGTTGATATTTGGCTCTGTTGACTAATGAGTTTGTCGACCACTTTTTAACCCAACCTCACAATAGGAGACCACACAGCAGATATCTAATGAGAGAGGTTTCATAAGGGATGTATAGCATCAGTCATTGCACATGACTAGTTGCACTAGGGCTTATAAAGTACGGTCGGGAATTTAACAAAAGTACAATGATGAGCGAGCTTAAGTCCATATCCACTAGAACGTAAGCTTAATGGGAGGAGCTGCATTCACTGCCTAACTCAATGTAGGTGCTCAGTACTTTTTGCTAAATGACAAAGTGTGTGTTGAAATTTTTTTAAAGCTCATCCCCTCCCCCTACCCCCCAAAAAAGACATGTATTTGGAAGACTGCAAGTAACCTTAATATAATCAAGTATTGAAACATGGAACATCAAGTAGTATTTCAATCTGAAATGACATGAATTTGTAACCCTGTTAGGATTTATTTCTGTCCTATATGCTAAGTAGGGATGAGCTAAATTTCTTACCATCTCTCACTTTTATATACTATCAGTTTAAATTTTAGCTCTGTTGTGTGTGTGTGTGCGCGTGCCAGTATGTACATATGTGCACTTTAATTGACAGTGCAAACTGATTATGTTTCTGGTTAACTTTGCAAAAATGGAACACTCCATTTTACATAATTGAATTTTTACTCCTGCCTGGGTGTTAAGGCAGAATTTTACTGTAATATTTGGATAGTGTCAGAAATTGTTACTAATGAAAAATACTTTCTTAATAAATGTCAAAATTACAATGTTTTTAATCTCCATTTTTCCATCAAAGCCTTTACTCAATTTCACCTCCTTAGGCAGGATCTGTAATGAGTTTGGAGGACTTTAATTTTGTCAAATTTGCCATCCCCATACTTCTCCCACTCACACAAAGAAAGGAAAAATACTGACTTTTAGAAACTTAATCACATTAATTATGAGGATATGATTGCCTTTTACTTGGTGGTCTCTTTAAGAATATTGTATGTTGTTGGTGGGAATGAAAAATATAAACTTGTTAGAGAAGAGTTAGTCACAATATAAATCGAATATGCACTCTGGCCAGTTCATAGAGTGTTGTCCCCAATAAGCCAAGGTTATGGGCTCAATCTCCTTTCAGGACAAATACAAGAAAGCCAGCTGTCTGGCCAGTATGGCTCAGTGGGTTAGAATGTCATTCTGTGCCCTATGATGTCCTGGGTTTGATTCCCAGACAAGGCATGTACCTTAGTTGCAGGTTTTGAAGCATAGTAACCACCATCATGTATAAAAAAAAAACCCTGCTGTTGAAATCTCTGCTGTTGTTAGATAGTCCCTAGTCTTGTAAACTCTGTCATTATGAACTGTCACTTTAAGCCGAATCCGGTTTGGCTCAGTGGATAGAGCGTCAGCCTGCATGCAGACTGAAAGGTCCCAGGTTCGATTCCGGTCAAGGGCATGTACCTTGGTTGCGGGTACATCCCCCATGGGGGGTGTGCAAGAGGCAGCTGATTGATGATTCTCTCTCTATCCCTCTCTCTTCCTCTCTGTAAAAAAATCAATAAAATATATTTTTAAAAAATTAAAAATAAATAAACTGTCACTTTAAGATAGTCTGTTATTCTGTAAAATGACTTTGTTTTTAGTTCAAATAATAGAAAAAGATAAACTTAACTGTCTGACCTTGCAAGCTAGCCATCCAATGTAATAGACAGACTCATACAGATAATAATTATGCCAAGTACAAACTCATTATGTACTCAAGATTACAACTGTCTGAAACAATAATCTACACAGAGGTCTTTGTGAAATCTGCAAACAAAGAGGCTCAAAAAGCATAAATATGAGACACTTCCTCTCTGTCGGGGCTCAGAGATTTGGAAAGAGACACCTCCCTCTGGGCCAAGCACAATAAATGACTCCTAATTAATTGGCTCACCCTTTTTCCTCCCCGCCTTCCCTCCCACTTTCTTTAAAAATCAATGGGAAAAATCATTGGGTGAGAATTTTTTAAAAAGCAACCAATGAAGGCATAAATAACTGAAATAACAAATGGATATTTCCCTTCCTCGATCTCTAAAATCAATTTAAAAATTTTAAAAATGTAAAAAAAAAAAAAGTCAAATATGCATTCCCATCTGGAAATCATAAAGAATTTATGGTAATACTAGAGGACTGGTGCATAAAATTCATGCATGATGGAGGGGTGTCCAGACCAGCCTGCCCCCTCTCCAATCTGGGACTCCTTGTGGAATGTCTGACTGCAGTCGGACATCTCTCTCACAATCCAAGAGTGCTGGTTCCCAACTGCTTGCCTGCCTGACTGTCCCTAACCGCTTCTGCCTGCCAGCCTGATCACCTCCTAACCACTCCTCTGCCAGCCTGGTTGCCCCAAACTGCTCTCCCCTGCAGGCCTGGCTGCTACTAACTGCCCTCCCCTACCGGGCCAGTCACCCCTAACTTCCCTCCCTTGCCAGCCTGGTCATCCCCAATTGCCTTCCCCAACAGGTCTTGTCCCTCCCAACCTCCCTCCCCTGCTGGCCTGCTCACCCACAATTGCCCTTCCCTGCTGGCCACCTTAGGGTGGCCATCTTGGACCACATGGGGGTAGCAATCTTGTGTGTTGGAGTTATGGTCAATTTGCATATTATCTATTATATAGGATAGAATGGATGTGTACAGTGAGGGTAATTTTTTTAAACTGGAAATACATAAGAGTTTGGATAAATTTCCTTTCTCTATTAATATGGAGTTCCAGATAGTATTTAAGAGACTAAAATGATGGGAAAGAATAATGCATATTATTTAGTGAAAATGTGGATCATAATAACCAGTTCATTTAAGTCTGTACACATATATGTTCAAATACATGCTTAATAGATAATGTGTGAAAGATTACTCACTATCAGGTATATAGTGGTTTTCTCTGGCAAACAAAATTTTGCCTTAGTCTTTTATTTTTTGTGCTTGATTCAAAAATTGGCAACATTGACCAATTTTATCAAGGTAGTATCTTATACTGTGATTTCTCTGTTTCTTAGATACCATTATGACCAAAATAAATTCTCTAGATTTTTGATACAGATAAATTAGGTGTCAGCAACTTCATCTTACTGTGAAAAGTTTTTAGGTCTCAAAGCCTGTGTGGGCTAGATCATCCTGGTGCAATTCACTAGCATTATAAATTGGTGCATCACAGTTTTTCCTCTCAGATTAAGCCATGTTGGATGAATGGGGTGACCAAGGCCCTGGCTTAACATAGTTTCTAAGGTGCTAAGTTCAAATTGCACAGAATCAGAAACCTAGGGCTTCTAATTCTCTTCTTTACTGTTGTAATTTCCAAGAGAATATCATGAGAGCGCGTGGTATTTTTTATCAGTTGGGGTACAGAAAATGTAACTCAGAGTTGTTTAAACCAACAATCTCAGTTCATATACTTGTGAAAAAGATACAGGTTGGTTAAGTCTTGTTCTGGGTCAGGCATCAGGGCTTTCTATTACTTTAATTTTCTCAGCTCTGTTCTTTTCTGTAAACCTTCAGATTGGTCACAGATGATAGTATCACCCGCTATTTTGCTCACAGCCAAAGGGAGAAAGCTTCTGCATCATTTTTAGTGTTATGTAGTCCTAGCTCCCCCAAAATGCATAAGATTCCTGGCCTCTAGTAGCCATTCAAGACAGAGGCTAAAACAGGACAATAAGGAATATACCTGACCCCCTTAAATAGGCTATTTTGCTCCCAATGACAAACAACAGGTTACACTGGGGAAACAGCAAGAATATGGGCAGAGAATTTTGTGGCACAAGTGCATAGGGACAGCCAAGAACTGAGAGAGCAGCAGAAACATTGAGAGAAACTTTCCAACACTTCAGTCACCATGCTAAGCACCAGGTAACATTAGAAAAATAACATGAGGTGTTGGGCTGAAGGTAACTATTCCAACAGCAGAATCCAATTCCAATCTTATTCCTGACCGGGTTTATTCAACACCTCCCCCTAACATCCTAGCACAACAGGTGTGCCTATTTCCAGGGAAATATACTATTTACTTCACTCTCTGCTTTTTGATAGATGTCATCTGGCATTCAATAAAAAAATTACAAGATAAGGAACGAACAACCATCTGCTAAGAGACATTAATCAATAAAACACACTTTAGAAAGAACCATATTTTTGAAAGGTCAGAGAATGTTATGTGCCTGGCTGATGTGATAAATGTTGATGTGAAAAGGGTGAACAATATTCATGAACAGATGGGGGATTTCAGTGGAAATTAATCGAATGGGAAGTGTTAAAAAAAGAAAATGTTATCACAAAGGATGCTTCCTTTTGTTCTTCGACGACCCCTGGTGGTCAGCACATGTCATAACGAGCAATCAAACTCCCGGTCTCCCACTTTGCATATTAGCCATATATATAGACTAGAGGCCCGGTGCATGAATTCACGCAAGGGTGGGATCCCTCTAGGTGGCCTGTAGGGGATGGGCTGAAGCCTGCAGTCCAATGCTGCCTGCAGTTCCTACCTGCCGCTCCCGCTCATCCTGGCCCCACTGTGCCTGCCACAGGCTCACACCCAATCAGTCCCAATTGGGAGAGACTAGCGCTGCTGCTGTAGCAGCACTCGCCAGCCCTGCGCCCTGCATCTGGTGCCTTTCCAAGCAAAGTGGCCTGGGGAATTGGGCTGAAACCAGCTCTCTGACATTCCCCAAGGGGTCACCGATTGTGAGAGGGCACAGGCCAGGCTGAGGGACCTCACTGGTGCACTATCCGGCCAGGGAGGGTCTGCAGGAGGGCTCCAAGGTGTGTCCTGCCCATCTCTCTCAGTCCTGATCAGCCAAACCCTAGCAGCAACCTACCAGTCAGAGCATCTGCCCCCTGGTGGTCAGTGCACGTAATAATGAACAACTTTAGCATATCATTAGCATATTACACTTAAATTGGTTGTTTGGTTGTTCTGCCATTCAGTCTATTTGCATATTATCCTTTTATTATATAGGAGGATATCAAAAGTATGTAATGAAATGTCTGAAGCCGAACCCAAATTAGAAAACAATTCAGGATATTATATATGCACACATCACAATATTTTCTTAAAATTATCTGCAATGGAGGTGCTTTTGCTTGACATAACTAATATATTTTTTTTAATTCAAGATTTTTCTCTATTTCAGCCTAATCAATGTTTGTATTGCCATTTTGTAAATTTTTAGCATATCTGCATGAAGAATTTCATTCAGCAAAACATGTCAAGAAATATTAGCTGCCTTTGGATTAGAGGAGGTAAAGGAATTAAACACTATTCTAAACTCCCCCTCCCTCCTTCCACTCCACTCCGGGCTTGCACAGTTTGGACTCTGAAGATTGAGCCTTCCTACATGCTTAGCTACGCTCCTACACAGCTGTCATTACCAAATCTTCGCTTTTTTCCCTTTATGTGGCCGCATTTCTTAAAATCCTCAATTATCTTTTTCATAAGCTTTAAGAAATGAATAAAGCAAAAAGGAACCTAACAGTTAAGCGCCAGATAGGGGACTCAATAGGAATCCTCTCTATTCAAAACGAGCCAACCGGTGGGAAGAGCGGTCCTGCGAGCTGCATTGTGGGAAACGTAGTTCGGGGGCGCGTGGAAACGAGGCGCTTCCTCTCGGGGCTTCTGGGAAGTGTAGTTCGGGAGCGGTGTGCAGCCCGAGGCACTTCCGCTCTCGGAAGGCGCGGTTGGGGCAGGGATTCTGGCAGTTAGGTGAGTTAACTCCGCGTCCGGGCGCTGTCTCGGAAGCTTCTTTGC